TAAGCAAGCAATTTTCAGGATTGCACCTTTATCAGTTCCACTTTAAGTAAAAGTAGTACGTATCCATCTCTGTATGTTGAACTTCTTTCGCACCGTACGTAGCCAACCACTCTCATCGACAGTATTGGTTCGGCGTATATTGCTCATATTTAAACGACAATAGAATTAAGCGGTCATCCGCACCATCGATTAGCACGATTGGCTACGTACGGTGCGAAATAATTTCAAAATACATACTTTTTTGTTTTTGGGTGCCCTTTATGGAGTTTGGGGCTAATGCCCCCCCCCCCCCCCGTTTTGTCCCCACGCACCGACATGACGCCTAGGGGAGCTGTCAAACTCGGTCCAGAAAGCAGCGCGAGTTTGGTAACAAAACACACGGATGCCCCTCTTCCCAAACACACCTGCGTGTGTCTATAGATAGGTAGACACAGATACGATGCATGCAAACACCGCGGGGGTGGGGGGGGGGGGGAAATCTCTTCATTCCATTCAAACATAATGATCGCACGTTAAACAAACCTGGCGAAAGAGGCGAGAGACGACATTGCTGATGTAAATCGATCCGCCTTTTACCTATCGGGTGAGCGTTCTTTGTCCGCCTAGTTATTTATAAATGTACTTCTCTGTCGGCTGCTGTGCACAGGCCCAAAGGTCAAAATGTCAAGCGGCCAGCATCGAACAGCACCACTGACGGTATCATTAACACGAGCTAATGTTAGAACACGTTCACATTACACGCTGTCTTTTAACCCTGTGATGCAAAACACCGTGATACTCCGTTCACTCCTCTCGGGGTCGCGTCTGGAACAACGGGGTCGAGGCAAAGATGTAGATTTAAATTTCGACTGCAGGGATTCATCTTCTTGGTTCTTTCGGTAAAGTCACGTAGAAGGGAAGTAATAAAATAATAATAAAATAATAAAAATAAAACATAATAAAATAATTATTTTATTATGTTTTATTTTTATTATTTTATTACTTCCCTTCTACGTGACTTTACCGAAAGAACCAAGAAGATGATGTAGATTTACTCACAGAGGGTGACTTACTGATGATGATCCCTTTCATGTAATACGATGTTAAACGTCTTTTTATAAGCCACGGCAAGAATCTAGAACGTGTGTACAAAATGACATGAGGCTGACATTGTCAAGACTGATAAGGTCAGTCCTTTCGTCCCCCCTCGGTCTTTTCTGCCGAAGGACCATTGCCTGAAACGTTAGTCTACTCTACATTGTCCATCATGAGGCAGTGCGAATAACGTACGTTGAGTTCCTCGAGCAATGAGAGCGGTGTTTAATAACGTACTGTATGTATATGCATATCGAGACGTTTGTACAACGGCGAATGAAACTCAATAAGCACGGCCGGTTTTCGTTGTGACGTCGCTTAAGCACAGATGGGAATTAATCAAAACTGAAATGGGTTTGTGGGTGGGAGGCGTGTGTGAGTGTGTGTGGGGGGGGGCTCTCGTCCACTTAAAATTAATGCACAGTCTCCGATTACGAAATGACTTGCAACCTTATAGCAATGGTAAACATTTGTATTGTGTGCGCTTGCGGAGACCCTCGCACCCACGCAATGTGCCGCATAATCCGCATGCGCCTTTGGGTGGGGTGGCTGGCCAGGTGTGCGAGGGTTAACAGCCACCCACCCACCCACCGCCATCACCGCCACGCGGGCAGGAAAACAAACGTTCTGATTTCGCGAAGTGAACAGGATGGGGTCGGAGGAGTAGCAGGGGGGGTGGGGGGAGGATGAAGTCGAAGCGAAGAATCAAGAGGGCGCACAGTGCTTGTCTGCCCTCGTGTGCGGAGGAAGAGAACAATCGAGAGCCTGAATTATGAGAAAAAAAGCGTTCAATCCCAACGAGGAGGGGTGGCTATCACAACGGTCGCTGCGCCGAGTGCGCTTATCAATGAGTGATCTCCACGGCAGTCACGCGATGGCCGAGCGGCGTTGTGTGTGTGTCTGTAGGGGGGTCTTCACGATGCGTGTGGACGTGAGTGGCCTTTGTTGCAATTTTGTTGACGAGAGCACACCATTTCGATTTAAAGCTTTCGTGACTGCAGGGATTCGTCTTCTTGGTTCTTTCGGTAAAGTCACGTAGAAGGGAAGTAATAAAATGATAAAAAATAAAACACAATAAAATAATTCTCACGACGTTTCGGCCACAACGCAAGCAGCCGTCCTCAGGTGAAAACCAGGTCTGTCGAGGTGAGTGGCTTGCGTTGTGGCCGAAACGTCGTGAGAATTATTTTATTGTTTTATTTTTACCATTTTATTACTTCCCTTCTACGTGACTTTACCGAAAGAACCAAGAAGAGAGCACACCAACAAAGAAGGGCCCATTGTCAGCCTCGCGCGGGGTCAATTACATCGGCTCAGAAGAACTGGCGTGTAATTTGCGCGGCCGATTTGTTATCGGGCCATTATGACCCTGCGTGGAAATTCAACAAGGGGCCTCGCTCGTGCGCACTCTGCGTCATCGCCCGGTAACTATACGAGCGCGGATGTTAATAGGATGGAACAGTTTGCCCGATTTGCAGTGTAAACTCGCATGCGTTTGACTGCGAGATAATCGTGTGAACGGAAAGGGTGAGTGTGTTGGCTTTGTGTGGCCGCCGCCATGAACAACGGAACGAGAAGCGGCCAGAGACTGACGAGGCGATAACATTGGAGCAGACACTACCGCAAAGCGTACCCGTCTAGCGAACCAGCCGCTAGTACTCGCTGCTCGTACTCAACATTTCACTGGCCATAACCATACTCCTTATCCCACCTACAGCGATTAGCCGGGGCCATTTTTCACTTTTCTTACCAAATCGGCAACCTGTGTTCGATATCGTTCCACGTCTAAAATCAGCCCCCCCCCCCGCCGTGTTACCTACGTGCACTGACCATATCGCGGTGAAGTATGGTCAAGTGACCTCTATGACCGTCACGACGCCGTGGTGACCTTCATCTAGCAGTGACTAGGCAATTTATTAATAATTCATTGTGAATGTATGCACTTCAAGTTATGTCTGCATTTGACTTTGTCAGAGGAAGAGAAACAGCTGTCAGCTTGAGGAGCTGGGGGAATTTTCCAGCAGTGGATTAACCATGGCTGATCATGATAAACGCATGTATTTTTTAACGATGTCTGTATTTGACTCGTCAGCGAGAGAGAACCATTTTCATTGATTTTTTCTCCCACCCCGTAATGTATTCACATTTAGCCCCAACCCTGTGGTGAATTCTGGATTGTTTGGAGTGGATAAATGCTTCTCGCCACTCATTCTCTCTCTGTGCAGAGAAACTAAATGATTGCCGCATATTTGAGCCGGAAATAGTGAAATCGAAAAAATAACAGACACGTGAAATTATTTACGTTCAGCATGACGGCCCATGGAAATCGGCGGAAGTCAGAATTATCTTGAAGTCATATTCAAATGACCAGATCTATAAAAACTCAACTGTTTTATATTTTACCAGGTAAGGCCCACTGAGCTATATAACTATTTTTCAGGAGTGGCCTGGCCACAAATGATAGCTCAACGAAGTGGCTTGTTATCATGTGGGAATTTATAGCAGCCAAATACTCTAAACGCATGATTCTAAATGTGGAGGGAAAAACCGGAGGACCCGGAGAAAAATCCACGCAACCACGGGGAGAGAGAGACACTGCAAACTCCAAATATGCAACAGGCGTCAGGGTCGGGATCGAACCCACGACCACCTGTACACCAGGCGAGGTAGTTCACATCTCGCCACCGTGGCGCCGCGGCATTCCATCCGATCTCATCAGATCTCGGAAGCTTAGCGGAGTTGAGCCTGGAAAGGGCTTGGATGAGTACCAACGTGATTGCCGTGGATGGCTGGCTGGCTGCATGCTGCGCTATTTGGTCGTCGGCACGGCGTTGCACAGTAACATCCATTGTTGTACTGTACTTCTATACGCCGTGTCGAGGCACCTTCATCAACCCGTACTGACGAGCATGGTGATGTATGGTCACGTAAAGCTACCCCCACGACCCATCCCGCAGTGTATTGTATATGGGGCAAGACATGTGCATGAATGTAATTACATGCGCCTAATCTTCATAAACCTTTCCACGTAACGTTATTTTATCCGTACAAAGAAATCATCATTATTGATTAGTGTATTGACTCACAGATAGCATCTGTGCCAACTACTAATGCACCAAACTGTCATATACGTGTACGTACTATGTATATACGTTAATGATCCGAAATGGTTTGTAGTCAAGTGCAGTTTTTAAATACGATATTGTATTAAAAAGCACGTGACTTCTGGCCTTAACCCACACACTCCCAGCACACGCGTCACTGCAGTAGTAATACGACACTTTATTTATCCCGGGACAGACCTCAAAAAGTCTCGAGATTCCTTGTTCAATCGGCTCCTGCATTGGGATGCTTGGCCAATCCCGTTCAGGAGTGTTTTTGGAATGTGGGATGAAACCGGAGTATCCGGAGAAAACCCCACCACGCGTATGGAGTGAGATGGCACTCGAGTCTTCGCCCAGGTACATTCATTCACACATCGCTCGATCGCATCCCCTGGCGAACACCTTGCAGCCCAAGCATACCACACCTGGCATTCTCAGGCAGACGTCCATCCAAACGGTAATAAAAATTGCTCAGTTTCGCTGAGCTCCCGTCATGCGACGACGCTTGCGCGCGTTCAGGGTTGATCCGATTGCGAAGCAACCACTCAGTCTACCCAGCTCTCCCCACCACCAACACCATCATCATTAAACATCTTGGCTCACTCAACCGCCCATCACTCCCTCCCCACGTCGCTTAAGCATCCCCTCGTCACCCCCCGCCCCCTATCCTCACGCATCCTCTTCGACCCAGACACCCCCCCCCCCCCCGTTTCATCTGCGCGCATCCAGGGACTGCCGCCAATCACAAACTCGCTCTCGCTGACGGCCGCGAGGCAGGCAAAGTCTACGATCTCCCATCGCAGGCAGCAGCAGAGCCCACCCCCTGCGAATGAGCTGAGCTCTTCCTCGAATTTCCATCTACTATAGCAGCCCACTCCCACCTCCACCACCACCATCCCACCCAAACCCCAACCTCTTCCATTAGTTGCCGCGATAATGTGTCGGCCCTGAGCCTCTTGCGCCCGATGTAAGCCGTTGTCTCGACAGCTTGCTGGCGCCCGCCAGCTTGGATGTTTGGTGTTCACAGTGACTGGGATTGCACACGGCCACTGGAGTATGTGGAACGCGGGGTGAGTACACGTACGTACGCGTCCGTTGTACACGTGCGTGGCGCGCGCGCGTGTGTGTGTGTGCGTGCGCGCCGTGCATTAGTCTCGTCTCCACCCAGTCGCATGGGATGTTCGACAGGGAGAATCCGAGGTGTGGAACAGTTTCTGGGATTCTGCCGACGAGTTGGTGAGTACTCACGATGCACTTTTGATATACGCGATTATGTACGTATAAACGAATGCGTAAAGCGCATATGTATGTCCTATAGAGGGGTAATTCTCAAATGTGTTACCGCATGTCTTGTCTTTTTTTAGTTTACTGTGAATGTCTTCGGCCCTTAAAACCGCACCGCCGATGAAATATGTATAGCTTGACTTACATAACGGTGTATGAATCCACATACGCGGAATACACATGACCCTGTTCCTTGAGTGTGCATAATTGGCAGCATAATTAGGAACAATACCATTGGGATTTTCGTAGCTGTAGTGATTTTGTAAAGGGACATCGGTTCAGTAATTATACACTTCTACTTATACGAGCTACGACTCGTTCGCATCTACGGGGGGGGGAGGCTTTCATGCAGCAGTAGATTGCCAAAGGTCGATCGTGATGAATATATTTTTTTAAATCAGCAACTATGGGGAGTTCTTCCCAATATGAACCATTCAAACGAGCCCCCCGAACGGCGCGTGACCGCAACCTGTTCCTGTCAGCGCCATCTGAGCAAGCGTTATGCTTCTGAAAAACAGACAGCCACTGGGATGATGCAAGCGAGCTTTGCGTAACGCTTCGGTAGCATGTGCGTGCCACTAATCAGGAGGGAGAACGCGAGGAAGGGAAGCCGTCAATCTTAGATTCGCAAAGAGAAAGTGTGCCGCTACCCGTGTCCCCAAATCGTACAGGCCAATTTGCCATTGTTAGACAATTACCCGCATTTTTTTGACAAATCAGAGCTGTACGCGTGCGTGCGCGCGTGTCTTTGTGTTCGTGGGAAGCGATAATTGCAGCGGTTAGCGCGGTGCGCTGCGAACCCGGCCACCAGAGTTCAATTCCCGCTCACAAGCCACCACCAGTGACGATTATCTGAACCGGTCCTGGGCTACCCCTAGGTCGACTCAGCCTCAAATGAGTACCTGGTGCAGTGAGTAGACATCGCCACTGGGGAGACAAAGGCGGTCGGGCGTGGTGTTGACCACCCACCCCCTCGTGTGCCACAGTGCCGGCTTTCATAGGTGCTCGCTAACAGCACTTGCCCCAACAATCTGTTAAACCTGTACGGGGGATCTCTGTCTTTTTTTTTGTCTTCGTGTCCAAAACGTGCTCTCTAACGGCACTTGCCTCTACAGTATGCTGAAGGCTATACGGGGGATCTTTGTCTCGTGTACAAACTGGCAACGGCGCTCTTTTCCGATGATGAGCCCCGAGCCAGGGATGGAAAGTCCACATTTCCGATTTTTTTCCTCTCTCTTCATATTATTATTTATTCTCCATTAATTACAAATTTCCACATTAATAGCAAGTGTGCCCTTTCCTGCCCTCTAACGGGCACAGAGATTTCGCTTGAAAATGTGGATGAAATTCTCAGCGTAATCTCTATATATATAAAAACCTCGTTGTGATATGTTACAATAAATGATCAATCGTAATATTAGCTTCGCCCGATCCGTTGTCATCTCTCGCCAACATGTGAAGCAACAATATCTCTGCCTCGCACCTGTACACGAGTTGATTTCATCGCTCACGACGTTTCGCAATACATACACCATTTCAATATTATCACGAAACAAATGGCAGGCGTTTTGTCAATCCACGGCGCACGGACGGGGGTTGATGTGGGCCAGAATGACGCCAGGTCGACTTTGTCTCTCCAAACGGTGACATTTACACATTCGGGCAACAACAACAATCACAACCGTCGTTCGCCCCAAGTGGCGGTGTACGGCACTTGTGCCAGGCTAGGTGCACGTTAAGACAAACACGAGCGCACGCACGCACAGACGCTATTCCCAAAACTGCGTTTTTTACAACGGACCTCTTGTTTCACGCTGTCATCATCAACACCCCCAACGTTGTCATTAGGCGAAACGGCACCGAGTCACAAATCCTTACTCCTTGCAACGGAAGTCTTGGGCAGTAAGGGGCCGTCCATAAATGACGTCACGCACCTAGGGGGGGGGGGTCAGACATTTGTGACGATGTGTGACGAGGGGGGTTTGAGAAATGTGACGTCACATCAAAATGCGCAACTTTAAATAAATATAAACAACACGTTCTACTTAATGAAATAGATTTTTAAAATAAATGTGTTCTCATACAACATCAGAGTGCAGCGCCACATTAAATACGCACTACAATGACAATAGTTTAAAGCGATTTTAAGCATGTTTTTTTTTGAGGGGGGGGGGGGCAGAGCTTTTTGACATCATATTTGAGGGGGGGGGGTCTGACGTCATTTATGGACGGCCCCTAAGCAAAACAACTGCACAGCATGTCAATATATTTCAGCACAAAAGCAAACATATAGAAAGGTACAACAAATACATCCCCAGCGGACAACCACGAATTTTTAACAGATGTCGATGGTTTTAGCTCCGTGCTTAATTATCCCCATTAGGGTTGAAACGGCATCGGCGTTAATGTTAACAGTTGCTTTCATGAATAAAATACGCCCTTATTTTACGCTGTAGCCTACTTACTAAATCGTCCGTCAGATCTCGGAAGCTAAGCAGGTTTGAGGCCTGGATAGCGCTTGAATATGTGACCGCCGTCACTAAGAACAGGGTGTCGTCGGTGACTGCGGGGCTAACGCTGCGGGCAGCAGACGAGGGCAGGGTTAGCAAAATTAATTGTTGTGCTGTAATTCTAGATTTGAAGCTTTCGTGACTGCAAGGATTCATATTCTTGTGTTTTTTCGGTAAAGTCACGTAGGTAAAAAATGCAAATTGATAAAAGTAAAATAAAAAATAAAATTCACGACGTTTCGTGCTGTGACGGTTCCACCTGAAGACGGAAGCTTGTGTTGCCTCCGAAACGTCGTGATTTTTATAATTTTTTTATTAATTTTAATTTTTTTACCTACGTGACTTTACCGAAAAAAACCTAAGAATATGTTGTGCTGTACTATGCAACGACGTCTACGCTCACCGTCTTCAAACCCGCACTGACCGATCTGTTGAAGTGCGGCCAGGCCCGTTCGGAAAACATGGATGAGGGAAAAGCCAGAGGTCTATGGCATTATTAAAATGGTTAATGCATGTACTTGGCTTGGGATTTCGTAGGATTTGTCGCTAGAAGGGACGATGGCCGATGGTCACAAATAGTGACGGAGTCAGAATCGGAAATAATCAGATTATGTATTTAGACACTGGAGGACTCCAATGAGCTATCAAGCTCACGTTACCACTACAAACAATTAAAAAAAACATACGATAGGAGTGCAAAGTATAGGAATGGTAAGCAAATGGCAAAAAAATAGACAAGTAAAACGAAACTGTGCTTTATTTTACCAGCGAAAGCCCACTGAGGTATTAGCTTCTTTTTCAGAAGCGACCTGGCCACAAATGATAGCGCAGCTAAGCGGCCTATCAGGCAAAAAAATGTCTATCAGCCAAATCATCTAAATGATGGAATGCTTCCGAAGGACTCGACTTCCGATGAGATGGAGCGATGAAATAAGCTCGTGCGCAGGTGCTCGATTACATGGAGTATTAAACGGGAAGATTGTGAGAGACGGCGATGAATCTTCATCCATGGCTGTTCGTGATAAATACAAATCACAACACACACACACACACAGTTGCTTTTTGTGTTTTAGCACGGTTGGCTACGTACGGCGCGAAAGAAGTTCAACAGACATAAACAGGTGTTGTTATATGATTCTTAACGCTGGTTATTTCTTTTTCCTGCCCCCCCCCCTCCTCCGCCCCTCTCGTCCCCTTCTTCTAGAAATAAAAAGAGCGCAGGCAACGGCAGGTGGCATCCACCCATGGTTTATTGATCACTCTCCGTCTCTTGCAAAGCAAAGGCATCGATGTGACATTACTTTCGCGTGAACGAGCACGCTGGTGCATCGCACGATCTGGACACTTAAAATATTAAACGCACGCACCTCGCACACATCACACACGCCACACACACATTGCACAGCCGTTTCCACACCAAACTGCAATGCATACATCCGAAAACTGAGACGAAACATTTTCCACAAATATATTTCCTCCTCGATAGCTTCGCAAAACCACACTGCGCAGGGTACAATCATCAAGGACTTTACACACACACACACATTATATTCGCATGTAATATACAAACACACATAGACGATCGTGACTGAGTGGCGCATATCTTAATGATGCTCGAGAGAGGTCAGAAAGTTTTTATCTTTGGGCGCAAATAATTCGAAGAAATACGAAAATTGAAATTGTTGCGTTTTTTCCCCCTCAGAAATTACGGCTCCGACAGAAATTGGTTTCACTCGTAAGGCAGCGAGCGGACACCCTGAAGTTCAACATTGTGCTCGCTCCTTACCACGTACAAACACACGACACCCATTATCGATGAGCCTAGTAACTCGCCTCCCGTGGTGTTGGAAAAACGAAGCACGCATTACCAGTACCAGCTCCTAGCGCAGCCACAACAACGACAACGACCACGACCCGAAACCAAACCATAGCGCACATTTTCGCGCAGCAAGATCGCGCAGATGAGGACCCAGCGTCAACTCGTGCTGAAAGACGAGGAGCTATCGTTAGTCTATGGTTGAAGTGAGACTCAAATGAGTACCCATTGTCATCGCAAGGGCTGCCTTTGTCCGCGGGATAGACCGACGATCTGCTGCTGTTATCCTGCGCTGGACTAAGGACGCGTGCACTTACAAGGACGTGGACACGAGGTACATTTAAGACAATGGCATCGTCACTGGCACTGCCTCTGTCCGACGGCTTTTTCCGCCGTCTCAGCAAGGAGTCGCTCAAAGAAATCGCCGATCAGATCGCCGAGGAGAAGGCAAACAAGGAGGCGGGAGACAAGAGCCTCCTGGATTTTGTCGAGGAGGAACTCAAGCCTCTCAGCTTTCTGGAGGCCGAGAGGAAGCTGCCGTTCGTCTACGGGGACGTGCCCAAGGAACTCATCTCGGAGCCCCTAGAAGACCTGGATCCCTTCTACAGGAACCAGATGGTGAGATGGGTGCGGGGAAGTTACTAAAACTATGAACTAAGATAATTTTATTTTACCACGTACGGCCCACTGAGCTATATAGCTCTTTTTCAGAAGCGACCTGGCCACTACAAATGATAGCTTAACGGAGTGGCTTATTGCGTGGAATTTATAGCGGCCAAATACTGGAAACGCGCGTTGATTCTAAATTTGGAGGGAAAAGCCTGGAGGACCCAGGCAAAAATCCACGCGACCGCCGGGAGAGAGAGAGAGAGAACATGCAAACTCTAAATAATACAAGGTGTCAGGGTCGGGATCGAACTCACGTCCTCCTGTGTACCAGGCGAGGTAGTTTTAACATTTGCATGGGGAGGAAGAGTGAGCACACTGATTGGAAGGTCAGATGTATATCTTTTGATGTTATATGAAGAGGCGCCATTGACGGAAACATGTTATGTATATATATATTTTTCCCTTTCGAGGTCACAGTGTTATTGACGAATGTGTCGACAATTTTTTTAAAATATTTTATCAAGAAGGACTCTGAGGTTCGAGACACCTGGTTGAGGAGGGCCAACTGAGTCCTCCCCAGGGTGTCCAGATGCAGGTGATAATGCGTGCAGCTGGCCTAATTGGTAATTGTAATGCAGAGGCAACGTGTGGGGGATAATGCACCAGCGTTGGCCTCCACCAGATCACTCCTCTTGGGAAGCTGCTGGGTAGGCTGCGTGAGCGCCTGTCAGTACGTGCTGATGATAAAGCCACTGCCAACGCATTCCACATTCCCAGTCTGTGCGTGTCTATGCGACTCTATGGGTCTCTGTTTGCGAGGCTGTGGGTGTTACGTATTATGGGGAGCGGTGGTTGTAGCGGTTAGCGTGCTGCGCTACGAACCTGGCGACCCGGGTTCGATTCCCGCTCACGGCGAACACCAGTGACGATTATCTGAACCGGTCCTGGGCTTCCCTTAGGTAGACTCAGCCTCAAATCAGTACCTGGTGCGATGTGTAAACATCGCCGCTAGGGAGACAAGGGCGGCCGAGCGTGGTGTTGGCCACACACCCCCTCGTGTGCCGTGCCGGCCTTTATATATGCTTGCTAACAGCACGTGCCCTTACAATATGTTAAGGCTATACGGGGGATCTTTGTCTGTGTTGCGTATATGTCGTTTAGGCTAATGGGGCAAACGACACCGTACAAAGGACACACATGAATGAGAAAAGAAAAAATGCCTTGGATAGAATCCTGACTCCGAATCATTACAGGGGCGGTAATATGAGTGTGTTTTGAGGTGGGGTAAATAGAGTTACGCTATTTCGCCGAATTATAAGACGCTCTGCAAAGTGAGACTCTCACCCCCAAGTGTAGTAACTAAGTTTGTTTAAAATATTGTCACACGCCCTTTAAGTCCATTATATAGTTTTTTTTGGGGTTAGATCGCGTAAATATATAAATGTGTCGCTAAAACCCGCCACCACCCGACACAAACAAACAGAACATGCCAATTCGTCACTTGAGCTCTCCAACGCACCGGTGTGATGTACTAGTGACGAATTGGTCACGTTCTGTTTATGTGACAACCCTTAATGTGTTGGCTGTGCCGGGTGGCGGCGGATTTTAGCGACACGTTTTATATATTTACGCGATCTAACCCAGAAACCCTCTATCATGGATGATATTGGTCGCGAAAGCCTGCTACGTGTTAAACTGCCTATTAAGTTTATAAAACGCACTCCAAATGTTATCTGAAAAACTCGCACTGGGATACACGGTCAGTGTGGGGCATTGGTGGGTGGTTGGAGGCGCACGAGCCCCGGGCTCAACGCTTTGGGACGCAGGTGACGTCATCACGTAAGTGTGCACTGTGACGTCACCAATGCGCATGCGAGCGAGCAAGCCAGCAAAACAATTTTTTTTCTAATGTAGTACGATACAGGGTTAAATACGTGCGTCTTGTTGTGCAGAGAATACAGCAAATGTTGTACCGACGAGGGGAAATTGACAAATGTGGTCCTACTGGAACCCGAGGGACCATATTAAGGTTGCAGGACAATGCTTCATGTGGATGGTTGACCTTAGCGCTTTGAGGATACGTGGCTGGTATCCAACTTAATACAATTCAACAAAGCACTTCGCCAGCTCTTGTTGAATTTGTGCGGCAATTACAGTCGTGGGTTGCTTGACGTTTTTCATCTACGAGGAAACTAGGGGATCGGTGGCACAGTGGTTAGATAACTTGGCAATTAACCCAGTAACATATGAGTTCCACTCCCGGCCACCATCTGAACCGTTTCAAGGCCTCCATATGTTCACCAACCCATACTAACCAGCGAGGCCCAGTATGGTCAAACATCCGCCATGACCGAATGGACTGACAAAAGGCTGTGACTTATTATGTCAACACTGCACGTGATTTTCACAATACATTAAGCTCACTTTTTGTATCCTAACAGTCTTGATTCTCATGCACGCAGCACGCAATGAACATAAATTGTTGTCTTTGTTGCTCTTATTAAGAGATGACACGCACCAATCCCATTGAAGCTTAAATTGGCTACGCCAGTTTTAAAGGGTAAAAACCTACTACTATATTTTGCCACTGGTAAAGGAGGTCTCATAGTGTAAATGCTTACCCCGAGCTCTCAATACTCTAATAGTGCGCTGTTTTTGAGTTGTACGCCTTTTGGCGTCATCTGGTCCAACACCAATGTGAGACTAGGCTCTAAGGAAAGCTGTCTCGGGTGTGGACCAATGAACTTCAAGGACAGTGCATATGATTACCATTATCAGAGTTGTTTATTTTTGTTTGCATTTTGACTGCTTGTGTTGCGGTTATTGCAAACATGATGCCTTGTATAAAGGTGTCAGTTTTGTACCAGTTTAAAGGGTAAAACCTACTACTATAAGTACGCCAGTGTTCTTCAATGCAAGGCCTGCGGGCCACTGGCGGCCGGCCCCTAGTGGCCTTTAGTGCGGCCCCCGACAATACACAACATGTGAAAACACACCCATCATCGTACTGCGGCCCTCACCAATGATGAGGCCTTATCGGCAAAAGTGCCCCCCCTCTGAAAATTAGTGAAGAACACTGAGCTACGCTGTGTTCGAATGGTCGTATATCGACTTGTGCATAATTGGCCTACAGAGGTTGAAGTTGAACTTCGCTGTTGAGTTTTAGTGTGACATCAAATCAAGTGCAGAGAGGTTTTAGTGCCAAGGATGAGGCCACCGGCCAGTTGTGAATAATTGCTGTTGTCATACGTTTGGATTATGAACTTCTTTCGCACTGTACGTAGCTAACCGTGCTAATCGGGAGTGTGCGGGGAAAGGATGACAACACTCAACATGAATTGAGCGAATGTGTTTGGTGGAGTCAATCTGTACAGTCAACGTTGTATTTAACCAATTGAAATGTTGACTGACTAACAATGATGCAGGAAATGTTGACAATACCTTCGATACACAACATTTCTCGAGGTTTCTAGTGATGGTCATATCAACGCGGTTGGCTACGTACGGTGCTAAAGAAGTTCAACATGCATACATCACTTGTGATGAACAAAAATAACATTCTGCACTTTACAGCCCTTTGTTAATCCTAGGTGCAAGACCAGACGTCAGCACGCAGGCGGTGTGACCTGGTTGGTATAGGACTTGTTCAGATATCACTCGACACTGACGTTAGCAGTGGCCGGGAATCAAACTCATGATGCTGGCTTTATAAACCCGTGCGCGACCATATCGATTGCCTGTAACGTTTAGAACGTATTCATAATATTGCTGCAGTTCTTTTAGTTTGAAAACAAGTGTACACTGCAACATACTCGCAGCTACCAAACAACAAGACAGCAGACTCCGTCTTTAGGCCCGTTGATCTCGTGTATGGAGAATAATGTAAACTTTTGGAAGTCCTATGCGTACATACATAAAGAAAGTTATATTTATCAATTATCAAATATTTTTAGTGCTGCCGTAGTGTTTTACATAATATTTATCTACTGTATAAAATTTAGTACATTTAACGTGAATTATAAAGAGCAATGGGGTGGAGCGGTGGCGCAGTGATTAGCACCCTTCCATTTGAATCCGGTTCCCGAGTTCGATTCTCGTATATTGCTTCCAATCATTGGCAAGTATTAGTACCTGAACCCCATTCACCAACCCACACTGACCAACATGGTGAAGAGAGGCGAGAGAGATGTAGTGGATATGAGTTGGAGACTGTACTTTACAGAATCAGAATATTTATACTGCATGAGCTATAAACCACTTATACACCATGGGGCCTGATAAAAATAAAAAAAAGTTTTTGAATGAATATTAGTTTTAAGTTTGCATTTTCATAGTTACATATTAGGTAACGGACAAACAAACCCTTCAATCTATTATCATAAAAGCCCTATGCATTCCGTTTTTCAGTGAGTCCGTCAGCTAAATGACGAGCCTTTCAGGAGGCCTGAATAACAAAAAAAGTGATAGAAAGAGGACCCCCCCGCCCAGATGTGGGAGTAAAAAGTTGATCCTAACAGGTGTACAACAATTGTCGACCCCCCCCCCCCCCCAAAAAAGAAATGTATTTTGTAGGCATATTTTCCTACACACCATACATACAATAGATTGAGTAGTATCTACTGCCTACACACCCTTCCAACAATCGTGTCAGTAGTATTCACTGCCTCCACACCCTACCAACAATAGTGTCAGTAGATCTAATGCCTACACACCCTACATACAATAGTGTCAGTAGATCTAATGCCTCCACACCCTACATACTATAGAGTCAGTAGTATCTGCACTCATGGGGGAAGGGGGTGGGAGAAGAGGACATCAGTGGGGTCGAAATTCTGGTAATAAAAGTTTCTTCGCTCGTTTGAATTAAGAGTAGAATCATGCAGTTGTAGAGAAGTTCCGACGGACGTACTCGGAGACGGAGGTAAGTTAGGGGCTTCCGCCAGGGTTTATTAACACTTATCAATACTACACAGGATACACAACTCCCAGGGGCTAGGGGTCCTACTCTTGAGTCCGGGTCCCTGCCGGCTAGCTCCGGTCTCTCTCTCTCGTGTCGGATCGTGGAGTCTGCCGACTCCACCGACCGGAGAGAGAAGCACCTCTACGGCTACCATCGGCTTCTCCCCAGACTCCCTATTCGATCCCTCTCACTATCCCTGGTCCCCTCTTCACCCTGTTTACTATCCCCGTTCCTACGTCACGGGGTATCCCTTAAATACCCTAGGAGACGTGACGTCATCGCACTAAACGGAACACCTGACGTCACGTCCCCATTTTACTCCTCTACGCAGTGTCAACTCTAGTTCAGCTGCGCAGCCTCTTCAGTCACAATTCCTTCACTCAAGTTCCCACTTGTAATCTACCTCACCAACTCTTACATGTGTAATGACAGGGTGCCACCTGTCGGCCAGGAGGGGTAATCACTGGTATGGGCGCGTTATATGATAACCAACTAGAAGGGGGGCATATCTGGGTTAAAGGTAAAAGGCGGGGTCATTCGGAAAACTCCGGGAAACTGCTCGAAGGTTTTAGAAGGAAGTATATAGGGGAGACGTAACCGAAGGTTCGGGGCTGTCGTTGGGTCCTGGCTGAGTCGCTGCTCGCCGTCATTTCTCTTCATCATCCGGCCGCATGGCCGATCCTCTGCATGGCTCCCATCGTTATCATCGCTACATTAGTCAGTCAGCTATATAGTTAGACGCCAACGTTGGGGCTGTGTAGAAAGGTCGGCTGTGGGTACCTATGTAGATACGTTTCTATATATCGCCCCAGTGTTTGTGCCCAAGTGTGAGAAATAAATAAGAAGCCCTCTCTCTACACGTTGTGTGTCGGAAGTCGGTCATTACACATGTATCAGAATTAACTTTGGATAACAAACCCTCGCATCTTCGGCTCCATGTGAAAAACTCCCCGGGGCCCCTTGCATGTGTAGACAGAACTCCCTGTCCAAACTGGCATAAGTCTGCCCTGTATATTGCACGTTTTTTATCCTTTTGATCTCTACCCTTTGTTGTGTTTATTTTAAATTGATTAGTCCCTTTTATCTTGCGGCTTTCCTTTACACCAGTGACTGCTCCCGTAGGTAATCATTAACATAACGGAGTAGCGTGGTTGGCATAGGCCCGTTCAATGAATTACATTGCATGTACTATGTCCGATATTTAATACAAGATAAATGTAATATTGTCAAATGCAAGCTCTTTAAAAAATCAATTACATCTTAGCCCGTGTAAATGGATATTTCGGAAAAAAAAACAATTTTTTTCCCTTTGCTGCATCTTAACATGGGCACACTGAGACGAATATCAATCTAATGCCGTGATTAGCTGGTGTGCTATTTTTATGAGTTCAAACTATTTGTAAACCCGATAATGGCTCTTATCAGCACCAACGCTGAAAACTGAACAGTGAAAGAGTTGCCCTGTTTGAATGCCCGAGGTGGGGTTTAGAGGTAGCTTTAGGTAGGATTAGTGGGTGAAGAATGCTGAAAATCCCATGGACAGCCAAAACCACCAATACACAAGTTGTGCAAGATATGGGCACTGACAGGCAACTGCTGAAGACCATCGTTAGCAGGAAGTGTTACTACCTAGGCCACATTGCCCGAAACGACCACAAATACCAGCTGTTAAAGCAAATCCTGGAAGGAAAAATCGAAGGGAAAAAACGACCAGGACGGCCAAAAACGACATGGCTCAGTAACATCAAAACATGGCTACAATTAACAACAGCACAAACTCTACACGCCGTGCTAGACCGGGACCAATATCATCGTGAAGTCGCACACGCCGTTAGGCAGCACTAAAGAAGAAGAGTGGGTGAGCTAATACTAGTGGCTGGTTGTGTAAATTCTTGAGGCTAGGGTCAGTGTGTCATCAAGAGCAGCTGGTCGGCTAGGGCTATCGTCAGCGAGAGAGCAAGTACTAGTCGAGAGTTGGCTTGACAGAGCTAATGCTCTTAATTGTTTGGATAGTTAAGGGTTGGGGTAGGTCTAGTATTAGTGGATGGTGGCTCGTTCGTTTAGGATAGGGGTAGGTGTAGTATTAATGGATCGGGGCTAGTTGGTTTGGATAGGGGTAAGTAGTATAAGCTGATGGGCTAGTTGGTTAGGGGTTGGGTAGGGCTATCATTTGGGTGGCGAGTGCACTGTGCCCACATACTGCTAGCTACTCTTACCCAATGCAGGGATATCATCTTAGTTTTTGCAGCTTTTGTTGCTGGTATTTACACACAGCTGTATGTAACTCTGACGGCCTGTCATGCTGTTCCACAAATGAACGGAGTTTGTAGACTAACTTTGACATACACATGCTATGACTGGAAACAATTTCTGACGTGTCATTACTCTATTGTATGGATTGCAGAGGTGTCATTGATGGATCAAGGAATACATAGCTTGCAATGTTACGGGCTTATCTCTTATAGCGCTGCCTCCTATAACGCTGTTTCCTTACACTGCCCTTTGTCCTGGAGGACGATTCCTGCGCGGATCAGCACACACATGGAAGAGAATAGACGTGGCGTTGCCCATTGGGCGCCTGTCTTTGCCCACATATGGTCTTGTCGAAGCCGAATCGAGGTGTCTGTTGTATCGATCTGCTCACAGTCAATCCGACAGCCACGTTAGAGTATCGATTCACTGAGGGTTAATCGCTGCGTCGATTCATTGGCAATCCACAGATCGAGTAATCCCATTGGTTAGTGTAGCTACCCGTGGAGCGTGTGTTCACGGCAGACGGTGGTTAACCTTACACAAGCTCCGGCAGAATGCACTGGTGAGTACATTAATGACTGTATTTATTTATGTAAGCATTATAAGTATTTTTTTCTGAAATGCTTTAATACATTTATCATGTGTACAAGTATTATTATTAAGGCTATTACCGATACCACGATGAAGCCCTCATTTCGCTCATAGGTAAAAAAAAATAGTGGTTAGGAACGCATCTCCATTGGAACCATGTTATAATGATCTCCTATAGCGCTGTTTCATACAGCGCTCCATTTACAAAGAACGCATATTGAGTGTTGTAGGAGGTATCCCTGTATACTGCGTAAGAAAGTCTGTCTTTTGTTTTCAATTCGTACATGTTGCACGTCATGTTTTTCTCATAAAGCAACCATATTCACCACAATGTTTAAATGATTGCCACTCACTGTTAAAGCTGTGTGCGCGTGTGCCTGTGTTGCAGACGTTCATTGCGGTGAACAGAAAAAAGAGGATCTACAGATTTAATGCGACAAACTCCCTTTATTTGTTCAGTCCATTTAACCCCGTGCGGCGCATTGCCATCAAGATCCTAATACACATATATCCTTTTATGTGTGCGTGTGTATCTGTGTGTCAGTGTGTCCCTGTATGCATATGTCTCGTGGTGTGTGTGTGGTAGGATGCATGTGATTGTATGTGTGTATATTGTGGGGAGCGGTTGTGTAGCGGTTAGCTCGCTGCGCTACGATACCCGCTCACGGCCAACATCAGTGACGATTATCTGAACCGGTCCTGGGCCTCCCCTAGGTCGACTCAGCCTCAAATGAGTACCTGGTGCGGTGTGTAAACATCGCCACTGGGGAGACAGAGGTGACCGGGCATGGTGCTGGCCACCCATCTCCTCATTTGTCATGCCAGTCTTCATAAGTGTCCGCAAACATTTCTTGCCTCTGCAGTCTGCTGAAAGTTATACGGGTGAACTTTGTTTTTGTGTGTTTTAGTCTGCATGATTTTGTTGGTATATGCTTATATTAGTTTATGTGAGGGCTTGGTAACCCCTCCACTTCAATTTCCTTGCCATTAACCAAAACACTCACTGTGGTGGAGAAGCTACCATTCCTCTTTTAGAAGCTGGACTGGTACCATTTACACCTCTGGGGGATGGACAGTCTTCCATTTGGGGCAGGAAACTGCTAAACAACAGGGAATGGCTGTTATGAACAAAATCATGCAAGGGTAATGGGAGCATAGAGGCGAGGTATGGGAAGCTGTTGTGGGCTCACCTCCCCATAAACTATAAGTGAGGAATGGGGTGGTCATTGCTTTCACCCCCATCGAAAATGAACATCAGTGGAAGGACGCAGGCAAGGCTGATCAGTCGGATGACTTCTATGACTTGTCACGGATGCTAGCTAAAGTAGCCTCTCGAGATTAGTCATCCTGTTGGGTGACTTTAATGCCCAAGTGGGTGATGATATGACCCAGAGTGATTGTAAAATATGGGCTGATCATCTCAATAATGGTAGGATGTTGCTAAACTTCTCTGCAGCCCATGGGATTGTAATCACCAACAAACTTTTTCAGCATCAGCACATGCACATATCATGGATGCACGCTGGGTCCAAGTAAGAACATCGACTATATAGTGACGAAACAGCAAATGCAGGCCCATGTCCTTAAGACCAGTTCCTACCATAGAACTGATCTGCCCACTGAACATTGCCTTGTCATCTATAAGATGCGTCTGCCATACTCCCATTGTTATGGTGGGCGTACCTAGTTAGACCACATGGAATGTGTTTAGATATGATCAAGCACGTGACAACATATTTATTTAAGCGTAGAAGACTGGTGAACATGCACAGATTTGACTCGGTGGATCCCGAGAACTGGAGTTTGCAAATCTCTCATCATACAGAACCTATTGGAGGCTACATAGCGCTTGGCCACAGGACTCCTTTCACATTTTTAAGGTTGAAATACCTGCCGAGGTCTACTCAGCTCAACATATTTCAGGGGGGGGGGGCAGGTCAATAAAATTAGCATGACCTTGACGAGCCGGCAGCGGTTGTCCTATAGAGACGCTGCCCTCCACCATGGGGATGTGGCATTTCGACCATGGGATTAGGGCAGGCAAACTACAGTATCAATCCCAAAGTTTCACAGGTGTCACCTACCACCATCTCCTCCGTGAAGCGAAACCCCTTTGCCTTGACTGCCGTCACACAGCCTTCACCTTGGTCATCGTTGGGACTATTTTAACGAACTGTGTCTTCATGGCGATGGACAAAGATTACGTTCCAGTGGAGTGAGTTTTACAATTGCTGCACTGTCTCTACACGATGGTACAGATCATCCTGTTTCACACATTGGTTGTTAGAAGTCGGATATTTCAGTGTAAGTGTTTGTGGATTTGGTGAAGTGCATGAAACATTCATATATCTTCTTGGTTCTTTCGGTAAAGTCACGTAGAAGGAAAATAATAAAATAATAAAAAATAAAACATATTTGACTGCAGGGATTCATCTTCTTGGTTCTTTCGGTAAAGTCACGTAGAAGGAAAATAAAACATAATAAAAAAATTATCACGGAAAACAGAACTTTCTGTTTTCCGTGAGAATTATTTTATTATGTTTATTTTTATTATTTTATTATTTTCCTTCTACGTGACTTTGCCGAAAGAACCAAGAAGATGAATCCCTGCAGTCACGAAAGCTTTAAATCGACATTCATATATCTTTAAGTTAATATAATTAACCCAGAATTAATTATAATGATTGCAAATGCAACAATGCAACGTAGTTTAAGACTGCACTGTATGTTGCGTTCACAAGGTAGGTTTTTATCATCGACTGAATAGGCCACTTTGGAATAATGGAGATGTCGACTTTACGGTTATTAGATGGGTGTTTGAGTTAAAAGTAATGTCTGTTACCGTTTGGGTGAGATAATTGTACTTAACAAAGCAACTAGAACATAACCTCTTAGCCTCTGAAATCCAGATGCATGGTGGGGAATATTAGAAATGCCAAGGCAGGATAGAGATAACAATATGGAAGTTTTCGAATAGAACATCGCAGCAAAGTGCCGTCGATGTAATGAAATGAAGGAGGTTGTGATGGGTGGAATACATGGACCTGGTGTGGGAGGGGAAGTTGCCGAGACAGGCATTGAGTGGCATCGAGACACAAACAGTGACCAAGGGGAAAACCTAGTGATGGTCAGACTGCGTGAGTGGGCCTTGAAGGACGTGTCAATATTTCAACTAGGAGTATATTTATAGCCATATTGCGGAATATTGAAAGAGAAAACTTTAAATACTTTACGACTTAATTTATCTGAAGAAAGTAAGCAATTGCAAGGTGGTAGTGAGATTAATGGAATTAGCCATGATCTCCTCTTAATTATGTATTTAGCCATTATCTACTCTTAAATATGTATTTCATTAACTTGAAACTCAAGTGTTCTTTTAGCTAACTGTCTAACATCCCCCACTGCAGATGTCCTTGACAAATGTGATGTATTTTCTTACAATTCCAGGTACACCATGAACACCATTTACATGATGGAGGTGGTGATCAAGGTCCTGGCCCGAGGATTTTTCATGGGGCAGTTCACTTTCCTTCGTGACCCCTGGAACTGGTTGGATTTACTTGTGGTGATCTTTACGTACGGAATATCTTTATATTTGCTTCTCTATGTGTGGGCTTTGAGGGAGATGAAAGCTGCGCCGTTACAGTGGTTTGTGGACTGTGCTATGGTCCAAAGCTATGATTCACGACTGCTGACAAGTTTTCTTCCCAGCCAAAGAATTGTCCTGGACCATTCTACGTCTAGTAGAATGGCACAGGGGCTCTGCCTTCACACTCTACGAACCACACTGCTCATGAAGGGCGTTAAAGTATAAAATGAGTATAAAGTTGTCCAGGCTATACTGTACTTGTATTTTAACAAAACAACTGAAATAATTGACTTTGGACCACAAAATATGCCAGTCCTGAGGTTTATAAGTAGCACTTCTAGAGCAGGTTCAGCCCAAAGTTTTATGATATCGTTCTTGTGCTCAACACTTTACAAAAATGTGATTATCATCACCAGCAAACCAAGTGATGTGCCTCCTTTGGGATGTGGTGCTGGAGTTGAATAGTTGGCACAGTCGACCACTGGTTACTCGTCCAGTATAAAAGTGTTGCTTCGGTAAAACCTGTATGGTGAAGAAGACGTTAGTTAAACATGACAACTAACAAGGTTGAACTGTCACTTAGAGGAAATAATTATGTAGTGAGGTTTATAGTCTTAAATGTACGTGTCCAATTGGTGAAATGTATTTGCCTATTTTGGCATCTTCAGGATTAAGCGCTTTGTAATTTGCAAACAAAAATCTCTTTTTGTTTGTACTAATATATATTATTTTTTTGTCATCTGTTTAGGATCGTGACATATGTGAATCCGAAACAAAAAATGTCTTCCCTTAAAACGTTCCGAGTGCTTCGTGTCCTCAAAACCATCTCCGTCTTTCCTGGTGTGTCAATTTAAAAGCTAAGTATCTGAAAAACTACTACTCACATATGAGAATACGCACGAATGTAAATCAGGCACTCAAAGCGTTGTAACTTTTGTCCCTTTGTTGTTTTTGTCGTCACGTCTCTCTTTTTTACAGGTCTCAAAACCATCGTGAAGGCTCTCATCCAGTCGGTGAAAAAGCTCTTCGACGTCATCATCCTCACGATATTCTGCCTGAGCATCTTCGCTCTCATTGGGCAGCAGCTCTTCATGGGCAACCTGAAGAACAAGTGCGTGCTGTGGCCGGACGGAAACAGAACCTGGGACAACGAAACCCTCGCGTACCTCGAAGACCCAAGTATGTACGCTTGTACAGTGGTCCCTCGGTTTATGATGCTATCGATGAACGATATTTTGATTAACGACCCACCTCCCATAGGGTCCCATTGTTTCTATTAACGATACATTTTGGATGAACGATGTGTTTACGATAATCACGTGGACTTGTCAATTTCGGACAAACGCATCGCTACTAAGTGGACTTGGCAGACCTCAGCCAATCAGTGACGCCCTTTTATGAGCGTTTTTGAGAGCAATTTTCTCCCACCCCAACTTCTCCATCATCCTGTTAAGCCATCCATCTTCTTAGCCTAAGGTAAGAATTTTTATTAAATGTCCTATTTATGCACTTCTGTATGCCCTATTTATTCATTATTTATCAATGTTTCTATCAATATGAATGCTTTAATATGTTGTAATAACTTTATTTATTAAAATAGCGTGTTTAAATATTATAAACTATGTTATTATGGTGAAAGAGGTCAATTTCCGATCCTCTTGGAACAAATTAAGCCTTTAACATGTATTTCTTATATTCGATTAACCATAATTTCAATTAAGGTTCGGGGGAAGGACAGCAAACGAAACATAAAAAGCAGTTCTAAAGAAATTAATTTTCAATCTAGATTTAAAAGTGCCTAGCTCCAGTGGCTTCCGAATATCAGAAGGAAGAGCGTTCCAGACGTCCGCAGAGCACGTCTGAAAGTGCGCGATGCGGTGACCGTCTTTGTTCGATGGTTAGCCACAAGCTGCTGCGAGGATCATCGGGGTTTGTGTGATGGTTTATGCTCCTTGACGAGAGATGATGTCTGCTCTTGAGCTGAGCCACCACTCCCAATACATTCAGCGCATGTGCATACAGGCTGCCAATCGCCACTAAGTGTCGGTGATATCACCATGGCGCTTGTGCCAGGATAGGTGCACTTTGAGGCCATGTGAAGTGTCGAAGGCTCGCTGGCACGAGGTCATGAGACGTACCCAGGAGCCATGGGTTGACTGACTGAGATGATCAGCGGATACACCAACTGTTCTTCCCACTATGCCAAATTGCTGCATTTTAGCTGCTCAGTGTGCCACCGATAGTTATGAGCATCATTCCTCTACCCTCTGCTGTTGTTGGAGGGCAATCTTGATACCGTTGATACCAGTCTTCGGAAAATACGCTCAGCTCCACATCCTCCTGTACTACATCAGTCCATCTCTTCTCTAGCCCGGGCCGCGTCCATTTATCCCCTTCTATCCGACCAAACGAAAGCTGCTTGGGCATGCGATGGCTGGGTCATGTGGGCTACATCCCTCAGCCAATGCAGCCTTGCCTGCCAGAGGAGTTCACCGATGGGAATGTTCCCACAATATTTCAAGGATTTGTGAGCTCGCACAATCCAGCCTGGTTAAACCCAGGACGGATCTTAGGCAGGCTAACTTGATTGTTTAAAACCAGCACAGATGTTCATTCAGAAGGGTCCAGGTTTTTCAAACATAGAGGAGGGAGGGCAAAACTATGACTGAGAAGACCAGATGCTTTATCTGGAGAGACAGACCACGTAGCTTTCACACAGCGTTACGAAGCGAATGGAAAGATTATTCCACTCGACTGTTTCGGAGCGAGATCTCTGCTGACAAACTGGAGCTTGTCATAAGCACACTACCCAGGTACGGAAACTTCTCCACTCTCTCCACAACTGTCCCATCACTCATGGGGAGTTGAGGGGTTAGAGTGTTTGATGACACAAAACTACCCAGGCAGATGCTTAGTTCTGGTGGGGCTGAAGGTAAGGCCCCACTTTTTCGTGACATGCTCCAGGTTCAGCAGCAGAGCCTCCAACTCCTTCCCAGAGTGAGCAGCAATTACTAGATCATCAGCATATGTAATATGGTTGATCAATAAGGAGCCTTAATGCTCACCTATGCATCGATCAGCCTCCCAATGTACAATGTGCCTGCTGCATGGATAATTGCATCTGCCCGTAATTCAAACGGTGTTCTAACACATCAAACTGTTGCCACTGCATTTTTACAGATAACTATTACAAGTCCGACAATCAGCCAATACTCTGCGGAAACAGCTCAGGGGCCGGGTGAGTGTGCATGTCTGTTTTAACTTTCAAACCCTGTAGCCCCTACTGCACGTTGGTACAGATCTCAGGAGCTCAGCGGGATTTTAGGCTTGGACCGTACTTGAATGGTTGGAACAGACATGCATCACACAGGTGCTGTAGGCCGCTGTGGAGACTGCACTCTCAGCAAAGGGCGGCGCAGCAAAAATCAATGATTGTCCTGCACTACGCTCCGATGTCTGTGCTCCCCGTGTTCGCGAACCACACTCGCCTCCGCCGTGAAGTATGGTGACACAGCCTCCGTTAACCGCACGGTGTGGGGAAGACCCCCTCATCCAGCAGTGGACTGACAAAAAAACCGGCTGTACATGTACAGCACGACACGTGTGATGATGGGATGCTTGCCGAAGGTTGCCCTCTCTGAGGTACAAATAACCGGAACATTTTCAAGTGAGAAGAATATCTCACAATGCCAGGAGAGAAAGAGCTGTATGCAGTGCATTGTCTCGAGTCGGTTTGTTATTGCGCAACTAACACAAATCTGGGATTCTACCGGTGCAGAAAGACTACACGTTTCACCACGACCGCATGCCCCAGTGTCGGCTAACCCGTGGCTGCGCCGTCCCTTACAGGGAGTGTCCAGAGGGATACTTGTGCTTCAAGATTGGAGACAATCCCAACTTTGGTTTCACCAACTATGACCACTTTGGGTGGGCGTTCTTGTCTCTCTTCCGCCTCATGACCCAAGACTCCTGGGAGTATCTTTACCAGCAGGTGAGTCGAAAGACTCGTTTTGTGTCTTTCATTTTTGTGTTGTTATTGGGCTCGTTTCCGCGGTCCGCCTGCCTCCCTGTTACACGAAAGACGCAAAGGTTAAAGACGATCACTCAAGATGTTCAATTAATTTGTTGAAACTATTTAACTACTAAGCTAAAATGAAACTATTTTTATTTTACCAGGTAAGGCCCACTGAGCTATATGGCTCGTTTTCAGAAGCGACCTGGCCACAAGTGATAGCTCAACCAAGTGGCTTATCGTGTGAAAATGTATAGCTGCCAAATACTCTATAAGCACGTTTCTAAGTGTGGAGGGAAAAACCACAGGACCCAGAGAAAAATCCATGCGACCATAGGGAGAATATGCAAACACTTTAAATATACAGGCGTCAGGGTCGGGATCAAACCCACGACCTCCTGTATACCACGCAAGGTAGTTAACATCTCGTCAACGTGGCGTTCTTGCCGGCCACCATTCCCAGCCGTATCACAGCTATTCCACTGAGATTCCTGGAATGGATTTGCACAAAAGCCGGAATGCGTCTTTGGTGTAACATCTGCTACCATTGGCATTTGCTATCAAATATCTTGACTGTATTTTGCTTTCTCCGGATCTCTCTAATTCGATGAGTTTTTAATCTAGTTCCAAAAGCTGTAATTATCACCATTATGTTTGTTAAATCGTGGTAGTACATACACAGCACAGCAAAAATCTCGATATAAGCACACCATATATAAGTCAAGCTGTGATGTAAGCAATACATCCTTACATTACGCTGGTAGGGGAAGGCAATGGACAACTTCTGATAAAGCACCCTTCTGGCCTTGCTCCCACGGGGTAACCTTGTAACCACCTTGTCTCCTAGACATCTGTGAAAAAGAGCTTCGTAGCTGCACTGCTGTAATGATGTATTTTGTCATTGGTGAGCGGTCAGTGGATCACCCCAATTCATTGAATCGCCGCGGTGTGGAATCATTGCACCTCATAATTACTCCTACAAAAAAAACCCTTTCACTGTATCGTTTTGTTCCACCCAGACCCTGAGATCGTCGGGCAAGGTGTACATGATCTTCTTCGTCATGGTCATCTTCCTGGGTTCTTTCTACCTCATCAATCTCATCCTGGCTGTGGTGGCCAAGTCCTACGAGGACCAGAACAGGGCGATGCAGAACAAGGACAAGGCGAAAGAGGCCGAGTTTGAGGAGATGCTCCAGCAGCTCCGGCTGCAGCAGGAGGAGCAGGAAGCTCTGGTGTGTCCACAGTCGCCATCTGCTCACACTCGGACACAGTCCACTGTGGATGTCGTTGGTGACCGGACACTCCCAAATATGATAATTGTTTTTTTACCCTTCTATCTGGCAACAAAACTGACACCTTTTTTTACAAGGAGTCATGTTTGCATAGACCACAATACCTGCAGTCATAATGCAAACAAAAAACACAACTCTGATAATGAATGCACTGTCCTTGAAGTTGATTGGCCCACACCCGAGACAGCTTTCCTTAGAGCCTAGTCTCACATGGGATGGACCAGATGACGCCAAAAGGCGCACAACTCAAAGACAATGCACCATCAGAGTATGAGAGCTCGGGGTAAGCATTTACACCATTGGAACCTCATTTGCCAGTAAAAAATATGATAATTGTTTTTTTACCCTTCTATCTGGCAACAAAACTGACACCTTTTTTTACAAGGAGTCATGTTTGCATAGACCACTCCCAAATATGTTTATATTATTAATATTCCCCACCAGCTACCCTGGGCTGGACTATCCAGGCAAAATGGTAGAGGCGGGAGCAGGGCTGGGCAGAGGTCGGGCCTCCCTGCTTATCGTACATTGGCAATGAGCTCTCACTGACTTTGAATGATCTATTAATGTGCAACTCTGTCACAAAACAGCCACAGCTGCATTGCATTTTTTTTAACGTAAGATGATGTGCAACATCTGCAAGTTTCAAGCAGGGAAGTTGCACCATTCGGCTTCATCATTATTCTTGAGATCTCCCACTGAATTCCCATAATTTAGCATCACTGCTGACAACCACCACACTTGTTGATTTGGACATTTGACTTCGCTTCACAGCTGAGGCTAAAAGCACGAATGCATGAAATCCCTCCATCTGTCCGTCCATCTGTAACATGGAGTTACGATAATGCTCGTAAAGAGGAACCCAATAAATACATAATAGGTTAAAGTTGTGTTTCTTCTCGGGACTAAGCCTGTCAAAAACTTTTCAAAATTAATCAAAGCGTTGCCCAATATTTAGTGATAAAAAAGAGCACTCAAATATATAATCCCCTTCGGCCAATGTGATGATCTCACGTGCCGCCCACGTGACACACCAAATATGTCGCTAGGCACGACCTAACCTTGGAAATGAACGTTGCTATCGCCCACGAAAATAATAAGGACAAACGCACGTTGGAAAGCATCGTTCGAACGCACTCGCGTGATTTTCCTTGCCCATTTTATTTTTACTCCGCACTCTACAAAGTCTGTGGCGCCCATGCTAAACTAAACTAAAACTATTGATTTTTATTTTTTTACCAGGTAAGGCCCACTGAGCTAGTGGCGATGAGGCAGTGAACATCTCGCCACCACGGCGAGATGTTAATTTGCGCGTTGACACGGCCCACTGGTCACGCATCCGCCGCTTGTTCCGGAGACCCGCGGGTCTCTGGTCTGGCAAGGTCGCGCTGGTCATTGCTGTGCGAGCATTAACAAGCTCCGTCCGCTTCCAGTGGAATCGAACCCACGACCTCCTGTATACCAGGCGAGGTAATTGACATCTTGCCAACGCGGCGGTGCAGGCTGCAGGGCTCTCCAGGAGAAAGAGCCGGTTCCGCCCCTGCACGCCGTCCGAGTGGTCACGCAGCAGCTCGGGGAGCACCAAGGGGAGACGGAGCATACGCGGTGGGTCGACGCAGGTGGCGGCGGCGAGCGCGGCGGACGACAAGGTGGAGTCCCCCCCAGCCCCCGTTGCGCCCCCCTCACGGAAGGTGTACATGCTGCACCCCGACTACACCGAGGACGAGGTGGTCGACGTGAGTCTCGGCGCGCACGCGCCAATCGGTGGACGGACGTGAGCTGTTGGTCTCAAATTCATCGTCATCTTCTTGGTTCTTTCGGTAAAGTCACGTAGAAGGGAAATAATAAAATAATACAAATAAAACATAATAAAATAAAATAATTCTCACGACGTTTCGGCCACAACGCAAGCAGCCGTCCTAAGGTGAAGAACAGGTCTGAGGACGGTTGCTTGCGTTGTGGCCGAAACGTCGTGAGAATTATTTTATTTTATTATGTATTATTTTTATTATTTTATTATTTTCCTTCTACGTGACTTTACCGAAAGAACCAAGAAAATGAATCCCTGCAGTCACGAAAGCTTTAAATCGAAATTCATCGTCATCGTCATCATGATCCGTGTGGCAGATATCCCATAGAGGTGCCACCGCACATTTCATCATTGGGTTTCCATTTCCTTCTGTCTTGTGCCAGTGTGCTCAAGTAGTGACCACGTCTTTCTGGCACCAATCTCTGATGTCGTCGTTAAGACATCCTCTGTTAGGTCTCCCTCTCTTTCCTTTCATTTTTCAGAACAACGCACTTTTAATTTCCCTGTTGTTGCCCATCCTGCATATGTGTTCAGATAGTGCCAGTTTCCTTCCCATCACTGGCAGCATCATCATCAGGCCTTCTTCTACGTGCAACCTTTTTCTTACTTCTACGTTGGTTAATTTTTGGGTCCAGCTTAGATGCAGTATTTTAGCTTGAATTCACTGCTGTTTTTTAATGTGTTTATTTTTTTGTCTATTTTTTTCTTACCAATTTTATTCCGTCTTCACTTGAAGCTTTCGTGACTGCAGGAATCCACACTCTTTGGTTTTTTTGGTAAAGTCACGTAGCTGGAAAATGTATAGATCATGACGTTTCGATCGCAGCACAAGCAACCGTCATCAGGTGAGACAAACACAGCAGGAAAACTGCTGACGCAGGAGAAAGAGCTGCTGCAACACGAGGTTATAGAGGCTTTAGGTGGGCTCAATCCATAGGTAAGTGGGCGGAGCTAGAGATGGAATTCGTACGTAAATGTAAGAGATTAGCATGGCAATGTCAAACGGCTCCAGCAACCGGGGGCTGTGCCAATGAGAAGATGAGAATGTTAATGTCAGAGAACCGGTCAACACGTAACAAAATACCCGCAAGAGCCACTACGAGGACAGACCAGCGTGTCAACGAGAGAGATACAGACACTTTTACCTGTGTCTTGAGTGGCTACATAGCCAACCATGCTAACTGGAAGTGTGGGGGAAAGACAATAAACTAAATGCAAAAATAAGTTCTAAAGAAATTATTTTCAATATAGATTTGTCTCCATACCTTATTTTCTCTCTTTGTGTCTGTCTATCACCCACTTCCACCCACTTGCCCATCCCAATACAATTATTTCATTCCACCACCTGAGCATCGAGCTTGCGCCATTAGGATCCTGCTTTCAAATGCAGGCGCATTGGTATATGTCTGATATCACACAGCCTGTCAGTCCAGTTCTACCTCTGTAGCACTGAACTACAGCTGGGCTTTCCAATTATATAAGTGATCGATTACTCATCCGTTTGTCAGCTCGAGTGGTCGGCTTATGGAAGTTCTCAAGTGTGCTGCTGGACGGGAGGTGATTGCAGAGCTTGGTGAAATCATTGGCATCGCCGGCTGTGTCACGCTATGTGTAGCATGCAGGGGGGTTCGCGCTTTCGGGAGGCAAGATGTAGGGATGGCCGTCATTTGTAAAAGGAGCCCCACGTAAGCGGCCACAAACAGAGGGTCATTTATAGTCGTTTGATCTACTACCCTGACCAATCGTCCCAGCCCTAACCCGCACCGTGACCTCCTTTGTTCTTGACAGCCCCTGTTCCCACCAACGCCAATACAAATGGGCCAGTGCAACGTCTTCAACTACCCCGACGGTAGCGGCTCGCCCGGCAGCAAACGAGGATCGAAGAAGACGAGCCTGACGGAGGAGGAGAAGAAGTCCATGCAGGACATGGCGTTTCACGTCTGGCTGGAGCGCAACCGGCTCGGCAGCTTCCACAGCCAGTGCGGCAGCGGCGACTCCGTCGGGTTGCCTCCCAGGGGAGCGCCAGGCCGGCCGTGCGTTGCGTTCGAGGACAGCGACGTACTTTCACCGGTGAGCGCTCGCGGAGACGCGTGGCCAGCGACGGTATCATCTTACCGCCCGTGGACTCGCACTCGTGTATGTCTCTGCTCTCTCGTGTAACTCCGCTTCTCCCTCCTTCTCGTGTCCACTGCTCCAACGGCCCAGGCTCTCCTGTCAAAACCCTCAGGTGACTGTCCGCTCACCTGGGAAGTCACTGCTGCTGCCGCCATATCCTGGAATTCCCTCTGTCAATGCCGAAACAATTTCTCTATTCGAATCCAGGCCCACGGCTTTCCTGTTCCCTTCCTAAGACTGACAATCATTTGAGTGCTGGTGCAGCGCTTATCTCTTCTTTAGAGTCCTTATCCTCCAGTTGAAATTCCACATTCTTGTGGTGGGGGCAAGTCTCTCCATCCGAACAAACGATAATAATTTTATCAACCCAGGAGGGATAAAACGCTGAATCGCCCCCCCCCCCCACCCAACTGGGACATTAAAAACTCGCAAATTTCCAATTTAGAGCCGTGCACTCTCCCGATGCGCCGTCGTGCCAGAGCCGATTTCAAATTCTCTCGCAATATGCCGACAAGGTCATTCCCCTAATTTATGAGCCGTGAGTGGTGAAACACACACGCTGCAACTGTGGAGAATACCCCAGGCGCAAGAACAAAATTACGTTTTCAGCCCGTAACGGGTTTACTTGTGGACGTAGGGGCCACTTATGAGCTCCCAGTGCCTCCCCCTGTGGGTGTTGCGAGAGGCTTGAAAATTGGGTTAGTGTCATTAAATCGCAACAGGGGCTGGCTTTTTTGACCACTAAATGTGAGCGTGTGGGCTGTGCGTGTGTCCGATGTTTCTAATAGGACCATGGGATTCCTTTGCGAATGAGGTCCAACTCCATCCAGGTGCCGTCAGAGATATTTGATGACCCAGTGAATAGGAAGAGGGCAGTCAGCACAATAAGTGCAATGACAGGTAAAATATGGAATGCTGATACAAGAATATATATGTTCGGCGCATAATGATGCATCCATACTCCCCACTTTCCTCTTTCACCTCCAGAAACTTGATGACTTGTCACGGTTTAAAGTCACGATTCGATTAAAGAAGCTGATTATTGTTTTTTTTTACATCGGCATGTATTAGTAGGTCCTCTATTGGCTGCAAGGGTCACAAGAAACTCATCACATCCAATGTACAGATATCAGTAAACGTTGATTTTTGCACGTGCGATTAAATGCGTGCGTCGTATTAAGAATAAATATATTAATCAATTAATAAATGTATCGTTCCATCCCTAATATATAATGTATACATGTATATATGGCATCGGCACGCACACACATATACCACAACTGTGGGTGAGCACTGGTTTGCACACTGCGCTATGACCACTGGTCACCAAAGTTTGATTCCCAGCCATGGCAAACATCAGTGGTGAGTCAGTTTAACACGTAGGCTTGCGCGACCAATATCATCCGTAATAGAGGTATTTGAGTTATATCGTATAAATATATAAATGTGTCATTCAACCCGCCACTACCCGACACAGCCAACTAGTAAGGGTTGTCACGTAAACAGAACGTGCCAATTCGTCACTAGTACAGCACACCGGTGTGTTGGAGAGCCGAGCCACGATGAGCAAGGACGTGTGGCAGCGTACAGAACAACAATGGGTGTTTCTGAATTGCTTTCTACAGCTCCAACACATAGCCCCGTAGCCTCGAACAACCTGTGCAGCATGGTGGTCACTCAGGCAAGCACTATCCAGGCTCAACCCTGCTGAGCTTATGTTCTCACGTGATTGGGGACTGCCCAGGTGTTTGTGTCTCATGATCATACTGTACACACAGGGGCTCACGTTCGCCTGTTGGAAGAAACAAGTTTTCTGCCATTGTTAGAAAACAAGGAAATCAGTCGAAACCCCCCCCCCCCCCCACAGATTTGATCGCTTTCTACCAATTATTATCGTAAACTGATTTTCTGCCAACACACGAATTAGGTCCAAAAAAGCTGTGTATGTAGTGAATTATAAAAAAAGAATACAATTATTACGTGGGCACTTACATCATTAACAGATATGTTCAGGATAAAACGAGTTATAGTAAGAACAACAACAATATTGCCACAATTTACAGGGGAATTGCACTCCAAACAAAATCAATGCTTTGAGAGATTTTGGATTTCAGCCTGATCAGATAATTGGTAAGGGTTTACCTCTGGTACATTTCTAAATTCTAAATTTTTACTTTGTGTATTTCCCACCCACTCCAACTTTTGATAGAATGCTACGAATGGGGAAAACCCCTCAATTATACATATATATTTAAATCCCCTTTACATATTAAGGAAAGTCTCATTGAGTCTTTAGGCTCTTAAGATGGTCTTGCGTTGGGATGTTTGGCCAGACATACAAGAAGAAACATGAACACCCAACGAAGTAGTGTGCCTATGATGGAATACACTTAACGCTCCACGCAGATCTATTTAACATTCCTTTGCTGTACTGCCCTCTCTTGGTCAACTCTCAGCCCAACGCCTACAACACTTGGTATTTCCAGGCGCACACTTGTCCCATCCAAGGGCTAACTAGGCTTGACACCCTGCTTTAACTTCCAAATCTAAAGACCCAAAAATGTATTTCTGAAGCCAATTCTGAAAAAAAATTGTCTTGAAATTCAAGTCTTTCTTTGGATACGCACGTAATAATAAAAAGTGCAAGTGGAAAGCAAAGCTGAATGACTAAACTATTACTCCCTGGACTGCTGCAGAAGCTCACGAGTCCAAGCAGAAGTGTCCTCCGTGCTGGCACGCGTTTGCCAACGCTGCCCTCATCTGGGAGTGGTGTCCAATGTGGATTCGCATCAAGCGGCTCGCAAAGCTCGTGGCCTTTGACCCCTTCATGGACCTCGCCATCACCCTGTGCATCGTGCTCAACACGGTCTTCATGAGTCTGGAGCACGACTCTATGAGCGAGGACTTCAAGAAAGTGCTCCGGAATGGAAATGTCGTGAGTAGGGGATTTGCGTTTAAAAAAAAAATGATCAGCACCATTCAGCCTTTGTGAATTATGCAAAAGAAAAGCATTAACACTCACTGAAGAACTGTATTGTGGTCCAAATTTACTGAAGAAATACATTGCACGTTTCTGTGTGTGGTTTCGAAAGATATGGTTTTCTGGCCTGCATTTATTTTTCGATTAAAATGGGTTTCATTGTGATTTACAGATTTTTTCTATTAGGTAATTTGCGCTAACTTTCTCTAAGCTCACGAGAAATGCGTCGAATTGTGTACATTTTTTTCTATTTGTATATTACGTATGCGATTCGCACCTCCGATTGACACGGTTGGTTACTTCCTGTGCATAACGGGTTCAACGTACATACACGTGTAGAGGATGTTCGGGACATCCTCACACAAACGCCACACAACCACGGGTTAAGGGTCACGGGAACGCGGGTTAAGGGTCACGGGAGCGCTGCCGTGTACGACACGCAATCAGATCATTGAGTGGAGGACACTGTAATCGGATTGGCCCCAGGAGAATTAGCGGTGGCAAAAACCCGAGAAGGTTTGGCAAGCGGGAGAAAACCCCGGGAGGGTTAACACGGGCGGAAAGCCCCAGAAGGGAATGGGTGTTAAAAAGGGGGGTGGGGGCTATATAAGGGAGATGATTTGGAGGGTTTGGGGTTGGTTTCCGATGATGAGTGGAAGTATGGTGTGATTTTCCTTGGAAATAAACATCCTGCTTAACCAACTCAAGTATCCTCTTCACGCGTATACGTGACTAGCATAAGTACCCGGCGTTGCCCGGGTGAAAAATATATTTCTTAATAACCTTACATATATACACAGATGGGTTGCTACCCCTGCCCCCCCCCCCCCCCCAGCCACGATCTCCTCGGCCGCTGTGCAGCAATATGTACGGCCTATAGTGTGGTGGGGTGTCGAGGCCTAGTACCGTGCAGAGCCTCCGGCCTCGCCTAAATTGCCCACCCGGCTGAGGCTGGGTACGGGTGCCGTTCCCCCCCCCCCCCCCCCGCGCTACAATAATACTGTCTAATCGCTATAATTTTATTATCTACCGACCCTATAATAGTAATAGCACACATTGGGGTGGGGGGGGAGTGAAGAGGACGTGAAACTTTGATGAACTTACCTCAGAGTCGCGTGTTAATGCGTGCGCATATTTTTAACGGGAATTAAAAATGGCGTCCATCCCGCAGCGAATGCGTCGCTACCCGTTGCCAGGGGCAACCGCCGTCCAATGAAACTGCGTATGGTCCGGCGACACACAGACAGACAGATTTGCGATTTTATATATATAGATAGGTGTACTTGAATTCCGCTGCCACTAGAGGCGCTAAGGTGCACCATAGTTTCGATTTAAAGCTTTCGTGACTGCAGGGATTCATCTTCTTGGTTCTTTCGGTAAAGTCACGTAGAAGGGAAATAATAAAATAATAAAAATTAAAACATAATAAAATACAATTCTCATGACGTTTCGGCCACAATGCAAGCAGTCGTCCTCAGGTGAAGAACAGGGCTGTCGGAAAGACGCTGTCGGAAAGACGCCCTGTTCTTCACCTGAGGATGGCTGCTTGCGTTGTGGCCGAAACGTCGTGAGAATTGTATTTTATTATGTTTAATTTTTTATTATTTTATTATTTTCCTTCTACGTGACTTTACCGAAAGAACCAAGAAGGTGCACCATAGTGTTAAAATATACAACCAATTCGTGCATTTAATTGTGTTCCTGAATTGCGACAATGCATCTAAATTGTAAATGAGGACGTGACCATGTTTGTGAATATCATGCAGGTGGCAACCCAGTTAATGCTTCAACTTCAATAAAAAATGTAATCCTGCTCGCATTGAGAAAACAAGGGTGGCATAACATTTGCCGGCTCCTGGGACACGTGCATTTTGGTAGAGGGTGACATTGCTAGCAATGTTGTGAACAAATGTTCTCCAGAAAATAATGTTTGTTTACTAATTGAAATAGCTTCTTGAAATTGTCTGAAACCTTTGTGCAGCCTGGTTTTGTGGTGTTTGCCTTCAACAAGCTGTTTGCATTTCGATTTTAAGCTTTCGTGACTGCAGGGATTAATCTTCTTGGTTCTTTCGGTAGCGTCTGAATGAGGTTGGAGTACCCACACTTTAGGCCACCGACAGCCCTGTTCTTCACCTGAGGACGTCGTGAGAATTGTATTTTATTATGTTTTATTTTTATAATTTTATTATTTCCCTTCTACGTGACTTTACCGATAGAACCAAGAAGATGAATCCCTGCAGTCACGAAAGCTTTAAATCGAAATTGCTAGCAATGTTGTGAACAAATGTTCTCCAGAAAATAATGTTTGTTTACTAATTGAAACATCCTCTTGAAATAGTTTGAAACCTTTGTGCAGCCTGGTTTTGTGGATTTTTGCAATTAATATTTGGGGAGTGTAGAGACCCTAAGATCGGTTAGACTAGTGCTTGATCTTGGCGTTGAAGCGCTGCTCCAGTAAATGCGGGACAATTCTGTTTTATGCTCTTCGCCTTTCACTTGGAACAAAAAAATCAACACATCGATAGCCTATGTTATTTAGAAGCAAATGAGGCCCCTTGAGACGTAATATTTCTGACGCAAGAAACAATGATGGGAAATGTCTAAAACACAAAATGCGGCAGTGTTAGAAAATGTATGCTGCTGCGGTGTAACGGTTGGTTCACTGGACTAGCGAACGACAGGTCACTGGTTTCATTGAAGCGATGGAGCATTTTTTTTATTCTCCCTCTCCGTCCACCCAGGAGTAGACATGGGTAAACTGCAGATCATCGATGGGCAGGTCGTGTATGGTGGCCTAAAGTGTGGGTACTCCAACCTTTTTAAAAATGCCCAGCCAGCGGGAAAGAGTAGGCAAAATACTATCAGGAGGGGCTCTAAAGCTCTGGATGCTTTTTCATCGACAGGAGCGCGAGCAATGAGTTTCAGCGCTGTACCTTTACCTTTTGATAAAATTATGGTAAAATACTTAACTGAAAATGCAATCATATTAACCGTGGTTGTGACTGCATCTTGGTGAATAATAAGTTGTTAGAAAGCGAGCGTCCGAAGGCAAACCTTACTGACGAGTGTGACTTTTTCCAATTACCACCAGTTCTTCACAGGGACTTTCACAGCAGAGATGGTGCTGAAGATTATCGCCATGGACCCTTACTATTACTTCCAGGAGAAATGGAACCAGTTTGACTCTGTTGTCGTCACCGTCAGCCTGGTGGAGATGTGGTTGCCAGATTTCGATAATCTGTCTGTGCTGCGCTCCTTCCGGCTGGTAAATGAAAATTTGCACGGGGCAATTATTGAATATTCAGCCGGGTCACACTGAGGCAAGAGTAATAAAAAAAAACGAGAGCAAAATCTTGATCATGAAATTGCCAGGTTGGTTCAGGGGTCAGAGATCTGAGCTGGCAGCCTTCAAATCCTTGGTTTAAATGTGGTTTTGAGCCACCTGTGATTAACCTGGCTTCTCAATTGCATTGAGCTGAAGGTCTCAGACATTTGACCAATGACTGAATAAAAATGATGATATGGTTTATCACTTTATTTGGTTCATTCAAGTTCTGAGATATAATACATTTTGCATTTATTGCGATGCAATGAACAATGTTTGCAGGGCATTAAAAGGTGCATCCCCAGGTGTAGCTATGAGAGATCTATTTAATTGACTTTGGCAGTAGTTCACATTATCTGACACGGGGTGGTGCACTGCTCACTGCAGCGTTATGAATGGAAATGTCTTCATCTCATCACATGAAGCCGAAAGCGTGAGCAAAATTTAATTGGTGAAATAAAACTAAAAATTTGGGGTTAGGGGGGTCGACTCAGCCCATCATTTCTCCAAGGTAAATAAAATGAGGCACCACATGTGAAGACGATACCAGTGGTTGTCCCTCAGAGAGACTGGTCTTAACCATAGGAATGTGGAATTTCCACCACTTATTCATTGCTGCCAACAGACACGCAGAGCTGAGAACTGGGTTTGAATTTTTTTATATATATATTCCCCTCAAGCAAAATATAATCATGTTCAGCGGCCGAACTAGACTTGAAATGCATATCAATCATTGTCTGCTTATCCAATTCCCCTTATTCATTGTCAGCATTGGGTCTTCGATGTCGATTTCCAGTCTACTTTTTTTACAACTCAGGTTTACTGCGCAAGTGCGGTTTTAGTATAAACACTCACCAAACGTCTGTGTTTTCCTTTACAATGAAACACAAATTCAATAAATGATTATTTATTAACCCGTTGATTCAACTTAAAATGTATGTAAGTGTTTAGCTGTAATATTCTGCCAACAGATGGCATTTCGTACTCGGTGCTGCAAATTGTTCAGCAGAGGATTTGTAACCGCAAGCGGCAAAGCCAATACCACAAATGGAAGTTATCATAACTGCAGTGCTCTCGCGTGACTGCACCTAAAAGCATTATCTGCATTAGACCGCCCAATAATGTCTGTCCCCCAATTGATTTACGAGAATTGGTTGGGCGGACCCTGTCTACAGGTTGAAATTAACTTTTCCATCAATCTCCCATCCTCCGTCTTCTCCTTATGCTGAATTGTCTGTTGTCATCGAGCAACAAAAATCGTGATACTGCATTTGGCAGGGTTGCACACAAGCGCAAATGACAAAAAATAACTAAACACATTTGACAATAATGCTTCCCTAAAAGAGGAAACATCATGCAATAGGATACGTTGTAGGCAATGGCCATTCTGTCCGCATTGAATTTCAGTTGCGTTGAGTCTATGTTATTGATATTGGTGTATTATGTCGTTGTGATTATTTGACTGGCTGGCTCAGAGGTAGAATAGAGTGCATGGCGGCTGTGAGCTCAATTCCTGGCTGGGGTTTGTGGGGGGGAGTAGACGTAGTCTTATCTCTTTGTGGTGGATAAAATATGTACCAATTTGCATGAAAGTCAACTCCATTTCCCCACCAAAGGAACGTGACATTTCCACCAATGGCTGAAGCCTCTAAGCAGGAGATTTGTGACACACCCATACTCAGTTTCAACCACTGGCATTGTTGTTGTTGTTGTAGCAATTATTTGTTTTTGTGTTGCAGCTGCGAGTGATTAAACTGGCCAAGTCCTGGGGCACCATGTACTCGCTGCTTAAGATAATCGGGAACTCGGTGGGAGCCCTTGCCAACCTGACGATCATCCTCGTGGTCATCATTTTCATCTTCGCAGTGGTGGGCATGCAGCTCTTTAAAAATAGCTACGCCAAAGAAAATTGGAGCTTGCTGCCCGATGATATGTTGCCGCTGCGTTGGCACATGTGCGATTTCTTACACTCCTTCATGATCGTCTTCCGCATCCTGTGCGGAGAATGGATTGAGAACATGTGGATATGCATGCAGCTGGACGGAAAGCCTCGCTGCATCATCATCTTCATGGCGGTGCTCATCATCGGCAACCTGGTGGTGAGCGAGCAGACCCCTGTGCCCCGACCGACGTGTTCGTGGCCTAAAAAGGGAAAATATGTAATAGGTGACGTTTCAGACCATGGTCCTTCCATGTAACGTACTCAGCCTTTTGCCCGGATTGCCGTGGAAAATTAGCTTTTTGGCTTAGATGGGCCTTACCATAAATCAACTGACTGACATAGCTTGTCAATGTGCTATGAATAAGTGCCATTGCCTAAAACATCAACCTCTATGCATTTTTTCTTTTTAGGCCACAGTGTTATTGCCAAATGTGTTGATTTGTTGTTGTTGTGATTTGTGCTTGTGCACCACTGCAAATTCAGCAGCATCCCCAAAAACGTCACATGTACGTGCTGCTGTGTTAACTACAGTAGTTGTGGAATAATTCACTCATTTAGAACCAACACCTCTGCCACCCGACCCTGGTGAGTCGATGAACGAATTCTATTATTGGTGTGGCAATATAGTTGAGGAGTTTGTGTAGTTTCGCTCTTCCTCCTCTTTTTAAGGATCACAGACCACGGTGGTTTACCACGTGGTCCATAGTTTGGGTTGCATGGCCACAATTACACTACTGTGATTTATCTTTAATTTTCCATTCATGAAGGAGACGTGGTGCACAGCTAACTGCTGGTGTTCTGATGCGCTTAATGGTCACAGCATCGTCAAAGAGGAGGAATGTCAAAGCCAGGAGGTGCGATGATGTTTGGATCTCGAATGAGGCGTTTAGGTTGCACGGGTCCACTCTGTTCGCCAGCATTCTTCTCGATCTGGGAGAGATTCTAGGATGGTGACAGCAGCACGATCCCAGAAGGTGGACCGGGACTTGAGTTGGCAGCGAGGGACACTGTTGAGGTCTTGGTTGATGATGGGTCACGTGGTTATCGTTAGCAATGAAACGTGTCAACTCCCTTGCGGTTTGCACGATGTCTCCACGGGTATTTGGTGGCAGAATAGTAGTCAGTACCGAGAGCCAGGGGGATTGGTATCTGTATCAGTGTTCTGGTTATGGTGCGCATCGCGTTATTTCATTGTGGGCGTACCAGTTTTGTGTACGAGTTCCCGGACCACGCTTGAGCACAGTGACCCCTGCCACTGAGGAGACCAGTGAGAGGACGGCATGCTCGCAGCACATCAGCTGTGAGGCTCCCCAGGTCGCTTCTGCGAGGCCGACTGACGAACTGTAGCAGTTTCTGCAGCAACGCTATTGTTTATTTGGTCTTTTCACAAATCGCCGGGCTTGAAGGTCTGGCTTCCATCCATTATAATCCCTAGATATATTGGAGTGGGGTCACAGCGTACTGTGCTACCACAGAAGGACACATCAAAGGTGGCATCTGTTGCATGATTGTCCAAGTGGAAAGTGCTTGTGGTCGTTTTTTTAAGGATTTTGTTGGAGTCTCCCGTGGCGGAAATATGCCTCCATGAAAATGACATCGACTCTTAGAATATTGGTAATGTCCTCGAGATTTGTGCACTTTGCAGCAAGGGCTATGTCATCTGGATGTATGAACTTGCGACATGACGTACACGCCAGGTCACGTATATACATGTTTAATAGTGACAGTGATAGTACCGAACCAATTTTGTAATAATCTTTTGGCTGTGTTTACCAGCAAGATGTACCCTGACAGTACGTTGGCTGATGAGGTATACAGTAGAATGGCATCTCGTGATTTTGACCAATTTCAAAAGCAAGCCATGACGCCAATCAGTGCCATAGGCAGCAGAGAGATCAATCATTGCTGTGCCAGTTTTCTGTTGACGCTTGAAATCAGCTTCTATGATGAGGTGGTGAAGGCAACTAGCTGGGCCATTCTCATCTTCGATCGGTATATTTGTTCCGAGTATTATGCCTGTGACGCATTTGTAACTGTAAGCTGTGCTGTGCTGATATAAAAGCTACTATCATTAGTCATAGTCAATCCACTACAGGATGTAGGCCACTCCAATGCGTCACCATCTCTCACGGTGCTGTGATGCAACAAGGACAGTTATATAACAATAATGCCCAAGTTGTTTTTTTCCCATTCAAGCGTAAACGTGCGCTTGCCATTGGTTCCACTTTTCTCTTCAAATGTACTTATTGTTAAGTAATTTTTCGTTTCATTCCTTTCAGGTGCTCAACCTCTTCCTGGCCCTGTTGTTGAGCTCCTTCAGCGCGGATAAGTTCGCGGCATCGGAGGATGAGCCCGATGCATCCAACATGCACCTGGCCATCGACCGCATCCGGAGGGTGGCGGCCTTCACGAGGGCCACGCTCACCGCCTTCTTCTGCAAGTTGGCCAAGACGACGAGGGAGGACGCCGGCGGCTCGGACGGCGTCGCCAACGGGTGCAGGGCGGGCGCCTGCGCGACGCCAGTACGGCGCGTGGGTCAGCCCTGCGCGGTGGTGGTGGCCCGACGCTCGTGCATGCGCCCGGCTCATGGCAGTGGTGGCGGCAACTGCAGAGTGCGCTGCTCAGCCGAGCACGTGACGCTCGCCATGCCCGAGACGGAGCACGAGATGATTGAGGTACGGCTATCTTCTTGTTTTCTTGGTTCTTTCGGTAAAGTCACGTAGAAGGCAAGTAATAAAATAATAAAAATAAAACATAATAAAATAAAATAATTATTTTTTTATTACTTCCCTTCTACGTGACTTTACCGAAAGAACCAAGAAGATGAATCCCTGCAGTCACGAAAGCTTTAAATCGAAATTTATCTTCTTGTTCTTCTGTAAGAAAGTTCCGCGAACAGCAGCACGAGTTCGGCAAAAAAACTCGGCTCATTGCCCCACCCAGGTGGGGGCCACGAGCGGGGGATATGAAAGCTTATATGGGGAGGGGAAAAGGGTAAGGCGAAAGATGACTAACATACTGGGAAAATTAAAGGGACAGGGGAAAGGAGGGTAAGGGAGGAACCGGGTGTGGGGCTGGGAGAATGTTTTGTCTTCTTGTTATCCTTCCAGTTCTTCGTACAGTTTTCGGAATCTTCTTTTTTGCTTCTTCTGACACTTATTCATGTTCTTATTTCTGTACTACTCACGTCAATGATCCAGCACATTTGGCGTTTGTGATCAAAACAGCAACCTGCGGATAGTTCCACGGTCGGTGGTTTGCTACGTGTGTCAACCGCAGTTGCTACGTGTGTTAACCCCAGTTGAGTAATTTGTGCTGCAATTTTCAAATTTCGCAAATATGGACAGTGACGTCAGTGCACGACGGCCGACTCATTTTCGAATAACATCACGGGATCGTCATTGTCCACTGGGAAGCAGATGGCACGTATTATTTATTTAATACACACAGTAATAACCAGTGCGACCTGCCAGACCAAACCGCAGGTCTCTGAAACAAGTGACGAATGTGCTACCAGTGACCCGTGTCACCACCCTAAATAAGATCCCATCGCGGTGGCGAGATGTTAACTGCCTCACCTGGTATGCAGGAGGCCGTGGGTTCGATCCCAACCTTGACGCCTGCATATTAGGAGTTTGCGTGTTCTCCCCGTGGTCGCTTGGATTTTTCTCTGGGTCCTCCGGTTTTCCTCTCCACATTTAGAATCAACGTCATGCGTTTAGAGTATTTGGCTGCCATACATTTCCACACGATAAGCCACTTCGGTTAGCTATCATTTGTGGCCATTGTCGCTTCTGAAAAAAAAGCTATACAGTTCAGTGGGCGTTACCTGGTAAAATAAAAACTAGTTTATAGTTTAGTTTAATTACTACTTCATCGCCTTCTTTCAGTTCTTCTTCCTGATCTTGGTTTGCATCTTCCTCAACTTTTGCATGAATTTATGTTCTTCTCTTCTTCCTGCTCATCTGCTTTTTCCTTTTCTGTACATTTTCCTTTGCTTCCTCCTGTTGCTGTTAGAGCGTGAAGAAATAATATATGTTGTTTACCCTTGGAAAACACTTCCACCATCATCAGCATATTATCTTTCATAGGGAGGGCCATAATAACCGTACAATATGTGTCTTATCCATACGTGCAGATTCAGGAGTGGAAGTATGATTACGAAGAGCCTGACTTTGCGGACTGTGCAAGGAATCATGAGAAAGTTGAGAAGGAGCCATCTGAACAGCAGCAGCAGCAGCAAGAGAAGGAAAAGGACAGACTGGATGATTGCTTCCCACAGTGTAAGGATCATGATTCCCTTGTGTGTGGTGGACACCTGAAGTGGTGGAATGACAGCAGTAGCAACTTTTCCAACTGCAGCGATGTAAGCGGCAGGCTTGCCGATGTTTAGGACGCCACGGTGGTGAGATGTTAACTACCTCGCATAGTATATAGGACGGTCGTGGGTTGGATCCCCACCCTGATGTCTATATTTGGAGTTTTGCATGTTCTCCCTGTGGTCGCGTGGATTTTTCTCCGGGTCCTCTGGTTGTTTTCCTCCACATTAAGATGGTTGCTATACATTTCCATGTGATAAGCCACTTTATTGGGCTATCATTTGTGGCCAGGTTTCATAGCTCAGTGGGCCTTACCTGGTAAAATAAAAATATTTTATAGTCAAATCAAATAAAAAAAATATTGTATAGTTTATTACCCCCTTTTAATGCTTATTGATTTTCAAAGCCAATCAACCCACGATAGAAATATCTTGAGAAAAAAAAATAAGATGCAATCGGTTTATGATGAAAAGGGTTTAAAACTTGGCAGCCTACCATTAAAATAGATAGGGTTGGCAAAATTGCAGTATTTCCTCAACAAGCCTGCCTCTTCTGATGAGACCCAGAAGGTTGAAACCATTCCACAGTTTGCTCGCTTAAATAAATGATGCTGTGTAAGTGCAGCAGGCCAATAAGGCAAACCATTTTATTATTAAAGTATAAAAGATGAATGGAAATCGATTATATGTATTATTACCCGTAAATGCTCCTCAAGAGCTGTTAAATTCGTTTTTATGGATATAATACAAAGCAAAGATATAATGCAAAGCATTACATATACAAGTGGTTTTGGTAGGAGGTGGTTTGGTGGCTTGAGGGTCAGAGCACTGATGTGGTATCGCTGAGGTCCTGGGTTTGAATCCAGGCAGCCACCCATGATTAAGACCAGATTCTCAAGTGCGGAGGGCTAAGGTCAAAACTGAAGACTGCGCCAATTTCTTTTTTGAAACCACCGTAATGTTTTTGGGGTTTCTCACTAATTAGGCAAAATTTCAGCTTGAAACCTGAAATAGAACCCAGGATTTAAGTGTCCTCAACTCTCAGTCACCTCCCTCCTTTTTGTACGTGAGTGAGTTTTTGCCACGGCACTGTTCTGCTCAGGGTGCGTAGCTCGTTCTCCCTGCTGTGCCTCTGGCGAGGCGAGTGAAGTGGGCATGTTTTGGTCCACCCTACGCAAGGCCTGCTTCATCATCGTGGAGCATAACTGGTTTGAGACGTTCATCATCTTCATGATCCTGCTAAGCAGCGGCGTCTTGGTGAGTACCCGTGCCAGTTGGAAGCACACTTCAAGATTCATGCCAATTGACGTTCATGCCAGTACCAATCCTTTTGGCTGGTCTCTCGCCCTGCTTGTGTTTAATTAGGTGGCTTGTGGTATTTGGAAGATGGGAAGCTGTTTGAAGAGTACAACATTTGTGGTCTGACTTGTGTAGCTATTTTGGCTTTGATTTTGACACTTTTGGCAGGGCCTTTATCTCCTGGTGTCTGCAGGCCTTTGTGTGGAAAGGGTTAAATAACATTTTACATGAATTAGGCCGTATCTTCCTTCGTAGGTGTTCGCTAACAACACTTGCCAGAACAGTCTGTTGAAGGCTATATGCGAGATATTTGTGTATGTGTGTGCGTGACCCGTGCAAGGCTGCGTTGGCTGGGACATGTAGCCCGCATGCCCAGCCACCGCATGCCTAAACAGCTTTTGTTTGGCCGGATCGAGGGGGCTAAACGGGCGCGGCACGGGCTAGAGAAGAGATGGAGTGATGTGGTACAGAAAGACGTGGAGCTGAATGGACTTGCCGATGACTGGTACCAGCGGTGTCAAGATCGGCCTCTGTGGAGGAGGCTCGTGAAGGACGCTACTGGGCAGTTGGAGGCAGTCGCCCTCCAACAACAACGGAGGGCGGGGGAGCGATGCTCACAACAACGAGCGGAGCGCCGGGTGGCTAAAGCACAGCAAGTTGGTACAGTAGGGGGCACAGGTGGTGCATCAGCCAGTCATCTCGGTCATCTCGGTCAGTCGACCTGTGGCACCTGGGTCTGCCCCGTGACCTCCTGCCAGCGGGCGTTCGACACTTCACGTGGCATCAAGGTGCACTTGGCCTGGCACAAGCGTCGTGGTGACGTCACCGCCACTTAGTGGCGAATGGCGGTTGTTGTTGTTGTTGTTGTGACCCGTGTAGGCGTTTGAAGATGTCTACATCGCTAAGAGGAAGACGATACAGATAGTGCTCGAATATGCCGACAAGGTGTTCACCTACGTGTTCATCCTGGAGATGCTGCTCAAGTGGCTGGCGTACGGATTGCAGAAATACTTCACCAACATGTGGTGCTGGCTCGACTTCTTAATCGTAGGGGTACGTGCTTGCTGCTATCCCCACCAGCCCCCCAACCCCTCCCACCCTCCCTCCTAGCACTGTATTGTTTATCTTCTTGCTGCTCACCAGCTTTTTTCAATTGCTGTATTTCTTAAATAAAGTGGTGCAGTTGGTCACGTGCTGCTCGAATAAACTCAGCCACCTGAGTTTGATTTTGAGCCGCGGCTAACGTCAGTGACGAGCAATCACTGGACCCCCCCCCCCCTGCATCCCACCGTTCACCAGCCTTTCTCTGGCCAGCGTGGTAAAGTAAAGTCAAACAAACCCCCCTGGAAAAATATGCCTTCATCCAGTAATGGACTGATAAAGGTCTGTACAATTTAAACGTTTGCAACGGACGGATACAAATTTACGTGTCCTTTAAAATACATGGAATAAGAGCATCCAGGATGCACACAATGAGGTTTTAAGTCAAAACAAGTTGTCAATTTAATTAAAATACCGAAGGTTTACACTCGGCCATGCTCCTGTTACACTACATCAATGAAAAGCGTATCCCACCTGAGGACGATTGCTTGTGTGGCGTTCGAAACGTCGTGATCTATTATTTTTTCTACCTACGTGACTTTACCGAAAAAAACCAAAGAGTACGTATTCTGAATGCACACTTGTTTCGGGATGTTGCACAGAGAGCACGCGGCACTATCAAGGTGAGATTCTGTTTCATGTGCACGGCGACACGTTCAGGGGCTAGACGCCAATGCCGAGGTCCGCTCGCGGCGAGACGGCTTCAGGAGAGAGTTTGCGTCGCTTTGTTTTTTCTCCTCCGTTGAAGGCGCGTACACGATGCCTAAATTACAGCCCAGGGTGCCAGGATGGAAACAATTCCACGATGGAATTTGATAACTTACACGATTTATCGGCATAAAAGCAAGACATTTTCACGAAAATAAGTTGAGATCATTCTGCTGCTACCCCAATGGCAACCCAGTGACTGATGCGGCGAGCTGAAAAGAGAAAATTGAACCTTAATTTTGGAGCTTTCGTGACTGCAGGAATTATTCTTTGGTACGTGACTTTACCGAAAGAACCAAAGAAGAAAATTGAACGTTGCGAAATCAGTCAGTTCACCTGTGTGTAAATTGAATTGTGTTATGGAACAGTAATTCATCTCTTGATTTCCCTTGGATTTGCATGGAGTTCTTTCAAACACTAAGTACGTATATGGCTATGTGAACGTGCTTGCCAATTTCCTTAAATGATTACAGTACTTATTTACCCAAGAAATCCACACCGAATACAAATATTCTTAAGACGGTACAGCATTGGGGGGATGTTTGTCCAACACCGATTACATCGCATGGCTTTAGCTATGGGAGGAAACCAGAGAAGCCAGAGGAAACCCATGCAGGACAAGGGGAGAACATACAAACTTTACACAGAAAGGTACCCAAGTCAGGATTCGAACGCAGATCCTTCTTGCTGTAAAGCCACCACTGTGCCAGTATGCCACCTTGAAGGCACAGTGGAAGTAAGTGAAAATATGCAGGAAGCATTTACCGGACATGTACATCTCATGACCTAATTAATGTTTTTCTCTGCAGCGGAGCGGATTTTTGCGGACAATTAATGCCCGTGCAATTGTTGTGGCAGCCATAAAATCGGGGCACTCTGAAATCGACCCTTCGGTGATGTTCGTTCGCGGCTGAACACGCTTTCCCGTCGTGCGCAGGTGTCCGTAACATCGCTCGTTGCCACGTTGCTCAAGTACGATGAGCTCAGTGCCATCAAAGCTCTGAGGACCGTCCGGGCTCTCAGACCACTCAGAGCCTTATCAAGATTTGAGGGCATGAGGGTATGCTGTGTGCACACAAACGTCAGATTTGCATCACTGGATAGCGTATTTTTTTTCTTTATGTATTAAAGTCCCTTAAAATGTTTTTTTTACATACTGTGTACAAATGATGCTTATCGTCCAAAAGTGAGCGGCTACATTTTACCTGGGTTAGTACTGACAGTTCCCTGATGAATTCATGCCACGTGCTGCTGGAGATGCAGAAAATGGTGCTGTAGCTAAACCAGGTGGTACTAATTACATACTCGTGCCAAAATCATCCAAATCTTCATTTGACCTAATAAACAATTTTAACGGTGTTTAAAAGTAATGTATCATAGCCACCATTTGTTACAGGAAAATAATATTGATGCTTTGTATGGTAGTTTTTTTATTTCTATTTTGTTGATTTTGCATTCGAATTGTTTCGTTTCATTGTTGTAACTTTTTTTTTGCTTTTGGTGAGCTTGTGTCTTGAGTTCTCACCTGGGTTAATACAGAAAACATTTTAGCTTGACATTTTTACGCCAACAAATAACAGCTCAGGGGTGAAATTTGCTTATGAAAGTTCCCGTTAATATTTACATTCGAAGCCATTCGCAAAAAAAATCATCGCCCAAGTTCATACCGCCGACCGAAAAGAGTGCGGTACGCTCCACAATTAACACCCGCACCTGCGCCGCTGTTTGACGCATTCTGCCGTGGCAGGCCCAGGTGTGGATGGCGGGGTTTATTGTGCAGAGAAAAGTTAACTATTTCCCTGGAGGGGTTAGAGAGAGGGAGAGAATGGAGCCTTCTCACCTGCCACCTGCCACTCAGCTTGCTACTCTTCCCTCTTGGCGTTTCCGCTGGGCGTGCGCGCGAATTTAGGTCGTGGTGAACGCGCTGATCGGGGCATTCCCGTCCATCGTCAACGTCCTCCTCGTGTGCCTCATCTTCTGGCTCATCTTCAGCATCATGGGCGTCGACCTCTTCAAGGGGAAATTCTACAAGTGCGTCAACAAGACCGACATGAAGATCTGTAACAGCTCGGTCGTCAGAAACAAGAATGAATGCGACGTGAATGCCTCGCAGGATTGGGTTAACATGCCCGTTAATTTCGACAACGTGGCCACGGGGTACCTGGCCTTACTGCAAGTTGTAAGTTCATGCATTATGCACACAATGTGTTTCTTCATTCATGTATATATATGATCACTTTTTCTGTTCGTGCATGCCTTGTTCAGCATTTACACAACCATTGGAAAAGCAGACCCTGAGGTGTGCCGCGCTGTTTCTGGAACGTTCCAGCATTTGGTCGTTCCTTATCTAAATGCTTCAAGAGCTCTGCCCTTCCCTCCCTCTGCCCCTCACCCTCCCTTTGCAACTGGAAGGAAGTGATCGCACTATTTGTTTGTTTTTAAACAAAACAAGGGGTTAACGTATTCTCGTGGTTAAGTTGTGCTACCCTCGGCAAATATTTATATGTTTAAACAGCACTGGAGCTCAAATTGACCTCGGATAAATGACGCTGCTCACGCGCCTCCCTTTCTAATTGACCCCCATGAGGCAGCGCGGCTGTTGTGGCGAGTGTGGCGTGGGCGAATGTGTGCGGTGTCCTTCCCCATGTAGCCCACTTTGAAGCTGGCTTGCACCGCTCAGTGTGGGCCGGCTTGTATTGGCGGCAGAGGTCGCAACTGGGTACCCGATACCCATACCCTACCCGATACCCGGCTACCCGTACCCGGCGGTACGGGTACCCGTTTGCGACCCTGGTGCGGCCGAGTACGAGTACGGGTAAGGAATCAAAACCCGTTTGCGACCTCTGATTGGTGGCTCGCTTTTAAGAGGTCGTGGGCACGTGGCACACGTCACCCCGTGACAATGTGTGCGTTCTCATTGTCCAATTTAATGCAGCAGTGGTTTACGCAATGCCCTATGGCCAGGTGATGGTAGAGTTCGATTTCAGAGCTATGGCAAGGCCAGAGAGATGGAGTGGACAAGAGATGGAAAATACACTTTACACTCTTGGGGCTTGGCAGTTGCATTCGCCTGCTCTTACTCCCTCTTTCTCTCTCTCTGGACTCTCTTTAAGTAATTTGAAAGACCATTGCCACAAATGTCACCAAATTACATGTCTTTTTTTACATTTAAGGTAGTTATTGAAAAAAATTTGTTATTTGTGCTTGTGCACGACTGCCAATGCAGTACAATCACCACTAAATCAGCTATGGCTGGGCATAAACGAGTGTTTGCACCTGGGTGAGGAGTGTTTGCACGTGGGTGAGGAGTGTTTGCTGTGGAAAGCGTGCATTTTCTATAGTTTACTTCGCGTCTGTTAATGTGTCTGCCTTATGGTGGGGGTTGGAGATGGGCAAATCGACGTGCAATGTTCTTGCATTGGCGGGTTAGCATAGGTCGGGGCTGAAACGCATGCGACTTAAACATCTCTGTGATAATGTCCTCACCCACAGTCATGCCTAGGGTTCGATAGCACATGTACACACTCCCCTCTCCATCACTCTACACTAAATTATAACCCTAACATCCACTGCAGTTGTTTACTCAAGTCTCGCTCTGCTGGTGGTATGGAAATCAAGTACATTTTCTCAGATAATGCGGAACATTAGATGCTACTCGCATTTTTCAAATCTGCCTACACGTAGAGAAAGGGTCCCGTGAAATTGCACGACTTACAGTACGGAAAAAAAGAGAACGCCTCATTTTTCATCCTTTAAAATATTAATTCTCTTTTTGATACAATTCCCCAACCTTCTGAGGATATTGACAGCAGCGCTGACAGAAGAGAAATGCCCCCACCTGCGGTGGCGTGGGAGCGACTGATCAACTTACCGTGCGTGCGAGTGTTTCTTTCTGTGTTTGCTCTTGCATCCGTAGGCTACTTTCAAGGGGTGGATAGACATCATGTCTGCTGCAGTTGATGCCACCAAGAAGATAAGTCATTTTTTTATACAATTATTGTGTCTGTTGTGAATAAAATAGCTTTTGACCCCAATGTTTGCACCTCAAACGGCCTCTCTGACCAGTCGTGATACACTTTGGTTCACTACAGAGCCACTTACCAATCACTGGATGATGCTTATATGCACATTTGTTAATTTCAGGGCTTCATTTCACCGGGTTTGCCCGTGTCAGTGACCTGGAAAATTTTTCCTTACCCGGCACACGACGTTTGGTAGAGCTGGCGTTATGGCTGTGCTTTCTCGTCACATTCCTTCCAATCTCTAATAGCAACCTGGGAAAATATTTCATAAGATATTAAAGGCCATGTTGATACGCATGCATTGCAATTCTCATGGAGATACGTAACAGCCCTTGACGATTTCGATTTAAATAATAAAATAAGATTTTTATTTTATTATTTCCATTCTACGTGACTTTACCGAAAGAACCAAGAAGATGAAGCCCTTGACGATGTGAACGTTTTTTACGCGTAGTTCAGTATTTGAACCTTATGGCGGGACCCCAGGGTCCCAAATAAACGGAAGTCAAAATCTTCATTAAATTATTTACTTTTGGCGACTCCGTCCCACCGCGCACATAAATGCCGCGACCCGCTTGGCGCGGATCATTCTGCTGTCATGTCGTGTCCAAGCGCAGCAGCGAGGACGAATGCGCAGAAGAGCTGAACAAGCGAATGCACTCAGTGTTCGGTTATGTGCAGGATCATAAGTCTTATCCAAAGCCGCTCAAACTGCCTATTTGTCATCACGGGATGCATAATACAGTGAAACTGCTCTCTTATCTTCATTATTATTTGAGACCTACCAATGTCTGCAGCCAGGATCAATCGATGACAATCCTATTACCTGCAGATATTTAACAGATGAGGTGCGTTGCACCGTTAATTACTCCTGTTTGATAATACTTCTCTCGTCCGTATGCATCTGTGCAGATAGTTTTTTTTTGTTGCGGTTAAGCCCTAGTCCCCGAATACCGCTCGTATGAATGCGGATAAGAGGAGCGATGACCCACGACTCTGTAGAGTAACATTGGTATAAACGCTTGTTACAATATGAACAGCGCATTGAAAACGTGCACTATTTCACGTACTGTTTACAAAGTGTGTTCACAAATCCACATTGAGAAATACGATGATTGTAAATTATTTTTTTCGATAGTGTATTTAAATAGAGCAACTACAGGTAAGTAGTTTTCAGTTTTAAAGTCATAGTTTAACAAGACAACACTTGCCACCATCCTTCAAACCCCTTGTTGAAAAAGAGCAAATTCTGTGTTTGCATTATAATATGTTTATGCGAGAGCCGGGGCTTATGGGAACCCCGGGGTCCCGCCATAAGGTTCATTTATATGTTCGTTAATATGTGGTAACTGGCAGTGCAGCATTTTATAACCTTGATCTCAATGTCTCGTTTCGCACAGTACGATGAACAGCCTAAGTTTGAGGAAAACAAATACAGTTACGGTTTCTTTGTTTTCTTCATTACTTTTGGAGCATTTTTCATCCTCAACCTTTTCATTGGTGTCATCATTGATAACTTCAACCAGCAAAAGAAAAAGATAGGTATCTTTGCATCTTGTTTTCTTCCACAAACATCAACATTCACATTTCCATATGTTGAACATTAATGTTTTGCTTTGCGTGGATGCTAGACTCACCAGACATGTGGTCGATTTGGGGATTTTCATGGTTACTGAAAATATTTAATGACCGCTGAATTCCATGAATTATAAGTAATGTGAAAAGCTGCATTGACGACTCCAAGCATTAAATCCATTATTAATTTAGAACATTACATATAATACATGTTTGTTATTTAAAACCCGCCATATTACATTCACACTTTCAGTTTTAAGTGGACCAATTTACAACCGTATTTACATAATGACACAGTATTCTTTATTTTATTTTCACAAGTCATTAGTTCATATTTCTGTTATGTTATTTATTGGACTAAAATCACAGTCGGCAGATTCACATGTTTGTCAATTACAGTGAGAGGAGAGTTAAATGTTAAACATGAATGCCATATATGTTGATGCATTACATAGGAGGGGAAGATATATTCCTGACAGAAGAACAAAGGAAATTCCACAGTGCAATGAAGAAACTCCGCTCAAAGAAACCACAAAAGCCTGTGCCTAGGCCGCATGTAAGTACCAGTCTCCAGGGCCTTGGATCTCACTCTTTAACCCAGTGAAACGGTTGGTGGGCTTCTCATTAGCACGCACAAGCTTTTGGTGAATGTAACTATTGTGCATTTCTCTGAAAAGGGGGTGTTTGGGTCCCAGTTTCAATCTCACAGTCGAAGAGGCATATATTGGTTCAAATCCCTATGGGCTACACATCTAATAGGTCCTCACCTGAGACAAATACAACTGTTCTTTAGTAGTTTGCGATGTTCAAATGTAAAAAAAAATATTCTGTTCATTTACAGTTATTGCTTGTTGCTGCCTTCCCGTGCCAGGTGTGTGCTATCGGTGTGTGCTTGCACAGCTTAAGAGCACTCTCTGGTTGCCTGGTGAAGTGACAGATTAACTGAGACACCAGGAGGATCACTTGTGTCTTAGCCCATGGTATCTTCTCTGACATGCGATTTGCACTCTGCTCCTGAGGAAAGTTATGGTTCTCCATGAACTGTTACATTTCAATGAGAAAAAAACTTCAGAACAATGCAAATAAAAACAAACTGCTCCTACAAATGTTCCAGTTATTTACTTTGATAGGTGTCAGAAGCTGTTGAATGGTTTTATCATCATGAGTAATTTTCAAATAGTTCTCGGAGACTGGGCAGGGCTGGCCAAGTAATTATTGGCTGCAAAGGTCTGCTACCTTTCATTAGTAGGTGCAAACGCTAAATTTGAGGCTCATTTACGGTAACATTCCGTTATTGCGAAAGCTATTGAATGCAGATGTATTTACTGAACTCAAGTCGCTCGCAAGGATGCATCGACGACACCTTTCTACATACACTTATTATTTTTTAAAGATATACTCGCTCAATGCGTCAACATATTTGTAATGACAGCTGTGTTATTTTTTCTTTCCAAAAAAGAGTTTATCATTTAAATATGAATTATTTTTTTCTAGTGTATTCTCCAGAATGGGGTTCAAACTACACTTGGATTGGTGACACCCGATCTGGTCATTGACCAGGAATATTCCTTATTGTAACAGAGATAATATTTAAAAAAAACAGAACAGCGGGGACAAATCCTTAAACATGAATGCTCCCGTTTCGTGTGGTGTCGATTTGGCGTGCAGAATAAGCTACAAAATCTTGCCTACGACCTGGTGGGCACCCAGGCCTTCGACGTGACCATCATGGCGCTCATTTGCCTTAATATGCTGGTCATGATGATCGAGACCGATAGCCAGAGCAAGGAAATGGAGAACGCCCTCCACTACATCAACATCATCTTCATCGCGATGTTCAGCGCCGAGTGCCTGCTCAAGCTCTTCGCCCTGCGACAATACTACTTCAAGTTTGCGTGGAACATTTTCGACATTGTCGTCATCGTCATGTCCTTTGTGGGTGAGGAGATGGTTGGCCTCTTTTGAGTTTTTTTTTCTCCCGTGTACGATGTATTATTTACGACAATCGGACGCTAATGTTGTGAGACGCTGCAATGCACTGCCAAGAAATAAAAAAAAACCTTCAGATGGAGAAATTGATTTGGTCGGCCTTGGGTGAAGACTGAAATGTAGACCACGAGAACGGGATTGATTTGCGCAGCAGTATCTGTGAATTAAACCAGTTTATATGATATATCCTCTCCTCTTTAATTGCTCGACGTGTACCAATTAATTTGGAAGATTATAAGGTTGCACAATTGGCAACGGTTGACCTCAATGTTCGCACGCTATCGAGTGTTTTTGATAGAGCTATTTCCGTTAGTTTGTTTTTGGAACGTCATCCAGTTGTAAATTGTGATGAGCAATCGTAAAAAGGCCCCAAAAACATCTGTTGCATTCCTTCACACGTCACAACTGCACTTTACATTTAAGGCAATTGATTCGATTGTGGTTAAAACGCTCTTCTTATATGTTTTCCAACAAAGGAAATGGATTACGATTTGGTTATGCAGACTCCAATTGTCACCGTTTCGTAACACAATCTGTAATGGAGTTCTGTATCGCTGCTACAAAGCTTGAGCGCAAATTTCCTGTTCACCGATCCTGGCCACCCTACCCAAACTCGCCGTCTGACGAGTGTTGTGGAATTGTCAAAATAACTCGCACTGCAAACACAAAAAGGCTATACATTATTGCTGTTATCACTTTAAAATGTCAATGCAACGGAAATGGCAGTAAACTGTCTATAGAGTTGTTTGTGTGGCTCAAAGAGCCCTTGGGTGTTTGACATCGTCTCTTTTGTGCTTTGAGGATAATCTAATCGTCCTCATAATCACCAGTCAGTGCTAATGTACCGACCGACCACCATGCACTCCACACCAAGTGGAGACCACGTCTTGCAATTTAGTGATCTGCCACTTACCAACGTTTACATAATGGAATCACTGTGATTTGAAGCTTTCGTGACTGCAGGAATTACTCTGTGGTTCTTTCGGTAAAGTCTCTCTGTGTGTCTCTGTGTTGTATCTCTCGGCTTGTGTGTCTGTCTTTGTGTCTCTGTGTTTTGTCTCTCTCTCAAATTTAGTTCTACCTGATGACGATTGCTTGTGTTGCAATCGAAACGTCGTATTTTATTATTTAATTTATTTTCTTTCTACGTCACATTACAACCACATGAATCACTGTGGTTGTAATGTGCCCTGCTCATCGACTCTTTGAAAGTAGTTAACATTTTCCTCGTCTCATTTTGCATTCTGAGCAATGTGATGATGTAAATTAAGTATGAGGTGCCATTAATTTCTTGGGGGAGGGCAGGAAGGGAGTGGGAATCCTGAATTGTCTTCTTGGTTTTTTCGGTAAAGTCACGTAGAAGGGAAGTAATAAAATAATAAAAATAAAACATAATAAAACAATTCTCACGACGTTTCGGCTACAACGCAAGCAGCCGTCTTCAGGTGAAGAATGAGACAATGCCAAGCTAGGAGCTTATATATAAGCTGCGTTGGAGGTGGAGGAAAGAGCGCCTTAACAAAAGAATGTGCATGTGAAGAGGAATTTAGCATATTCATGGGAAATGCGTAGGAGGTGGGCGGGGGGGTTTCAAAGTCATATTATGCCCATGCATTATGCAGGATCAACAGCACCAAGGGGGGGGTGCAGGGATTAGCAGTAACAAAGGAAAGGAATGTTAATGATATGTAGCTGCAGTTACTCAACCACCACGTAGAAAACTAAAGTATAAACTACATAAAAAACTAAAGTATAAATAGCATAGCACCATCAGTATACTTACTATACTCTACACTAAGCTGAGTTACTAACAGCAAGTAATACATTACAATTCTACGTCGTAAAAATTATATAATATGCTTCCATCTAAACTTTATTCTATTGCATCAACGAGCATATACCGTACTATATACTGCCAACATTAAATTATATACTGTATTGCTGTAAACCAACCTATATCTTATACATTTAATATAACACTATGTATTATTCTACCCACCCTAATGTGTGCCGAAATGGTTTATTACGTCCTTCCAATGATTGCTAAGCCAGAATCCATCTTCTCGGTTAAAATTGTCTCTGTGTTTGTATATGTGGATCGCCTCATGAACGAATCTCTCATGATAGCCAGATGGCTTGCAGAGAACCTCTGTCTTGGAGAAGTCAATGTCATGTGAGCCCACTGAATTGTAACAGTGATCTGCCACGGCTGAGGTGTTTGTCCTACCGTGTTTCAGGTCTGCCTTATGTTCACGGATGCGGTCCGAGACATGTCGTTTGGTTTCTCCAATGTAACTGCTACCACAGAGGCAACTTAGTTTGTAGACGCCAGGGTACTGTATGTCTGGAACCACATCTTTTACAGACGGGACCAGATCACGGATTTTATGTACTGTGTTGAATCGGACCTGGATCTTGTGTTTAATCAGGATTTTGGAGATCTTTTTTGTGACCCCAGCAATGTAGGGTAAGGTGATGGTCTTGAAAGGCTCCTCAACAGGATCCTTCTTGATGGTTGGAGTGATGGCTTTGCGGATTGTGTAGTCGGAGTAACCATTAGCCTTAAGAGCTTGGCGTACGTGTTTGAGTTCACTGGAAATGTGTTCATGGTCGGAGATGCATTGGGCTCTATGATATAGAGTCTTGATGAGGGAATTCTTCTGGGATGGATGGTGGTGGGAATCCGGTTTTAGATAAGCATCCGTGTGGGTGGCTTTCCTGTAGACAGAGTGGCTCATTGAACCATCAGGTCTCCTTTTGATTAGGACATCCAAAAAGGGTAGCTTGCCATCATTTTCGACTTCCATGGTGAATCTGATGGCTGGGTGTATGGAATTGATGTGGTCGAGAAATTGGTCTAGAGCAGGCCGGCCATGTGGCCAGATGACAAAAGTGTCGTCTACGTACCTCTTCCATAAGGTCGGGCGTAGAGTGGCAGTCTGGATGGCGTCCGTCTCAAATTTCTCCATGAAGATGTTGGCTACAACCGGAGATAGGGGGGAGCCCATTGGGGTGCCCTCAATTTGCTTGTAGAAGCCAACATCTTCATGGAGAAATTTGAGACGGACGCCATCCAGACTGCCACTCTACGCCCGACCTTATGGAAGAGGTACGTAGACGACACTTTTGTCATCTGGCCACATGGCCGGCCTGCTCTAGACCAATTTCTTGACCACATCAATTCCATACACCCAGCCATCAGATTCACCATGGAAGTCGAAAATGATGGCAAGCTACCCTTTTTGGATGTCCTAATCAAAAGGAGACCTGATGGTTCAATGAGCCACTCTGTCTACAGGAAAGCCACCCACACGGATGCTTATCTAAAACCGGATTCCCACCACCATCCATCCCAGAAGAATTCCCTCATCAAGACTCTATATCATAGAGCCCAATGCATCTCCGACCATGAACACATTTCCAGTGAACTCAAACACGTACGCCAAGCTCTTAAGGCTAATGGTTACTCCGACTACACAATCCGCAAAGCCATCACTCCAACCATCAAGAAGGATCCTGTTGAGGAGCCTTTCAAGACCATCACCTTACCCTACATTGCTGGGGTCACAAAAAAGATCTCCAAAATCCTGATTAAACACAAGATCCAGGTCCGATTCAACACAGTACATAAAATCCGTGATCTGGTCCCGTCTGTAAAAGATGTGGTTCCAGACATACAGTACCCTGGCGTCTACAAACTAAGTTTCCTCTGTGGTAGCAGTTACATTGGAGAAACCAAACGACATGTCTCGGACCGCATCCGTGAACATAAAGCAGACCTGAAACACGGTAGGACAAACACCTCAGCCGTGGCAGATCACTGTTACAATTTAGTGGGCTCACATGACATTGACTTCTCCAAGACAGAGGTTCTCTGCAAGCCATCTGGCTATCATGAGAGATTCGTTCATGAGGCGATCCACATATACAAACACAGAGACAATTTTAACCGAGAAGATGGATTCTGGCTTAGCAATCATTGGAAGGACGTAATAAACCATTTCGACACACATTAGGGTGGGTAGAATAATACATAGTGTTATATTAAATGTATAAGATATAGGTTGGTTTACAGCAATACAGTATATAATTTAATGTTGGCAGTATATAGTACGGTATATGCTCGTTGATGCAATAGAATAAAGTTTAGATGGAAGCATATTATATAATTTTTACGACGTAGAATTGTAATGTATTACTTGCTGTTAGTAACTCAGCTTAGTGTAGAGTATAGTAAGTATACTGATGGTGCTATGCTATTTATACTTTAGTTTTTTATGTAGTTTATACTTTAGTTTTCTACGTGGTGGTTGAGTAACTGCAGCTACATATCATTAACATTCCTTTCCTTTGTTACTGCTAATCCCTGCACCCCCCCCTTGGTGCTGTTGATCCTGCATAATGCATGGGCATAATATGACTTTGAAACCCCCCCGCCCACCTCCTACGCATTTTCCATGAATATGCTAAATTCCTCTTCACATGCACATTCTTTTGTTAAGGCGCTCTTTCCTCCACCTCCAACGCAGCTTATATATAAGCTCCTAGCTTGGCATTGTCTCATTCTTCACCTGAAGACGGCTGCTTGCGTTGTAGCCGAAACGTCGTGAGAATTGTTTTATTATGTTTTATTTTTATTATTTTATTACTTCCCTTCTACGTGACTTTACCGAAAGAACCAAGAAGATGAATCCCTGCAGTCACGAAAGCTTTAAATCGAAAAAAATCCTGAATTGGTCATGCTTTGGCACAAGATCAAAACAACAAGTCCTACATTGTGATTCAGTTAGAATAAACTGTTCAACGTCTTGGATGATAATACTATCAAATGTCATTCAAATATTTTACCCTGCGTCATGTATAAATTGCGCCAATGAAGCAACATTTCACTTCAACACGGAGTACAAATTCTGGCAACAGCACAGCACCTGAATGAGAATCTGGAAGTTTGTACTTTTTAATCTTGGTTGAAAGTCTGCTTAGACCATCAACTCCACCCCCAAGGTAAACAACACAAATGGGGGTTAAACTGTTGAACTTTCTGTTTTTTAAAGTGTACACCAATTAAACTTTTAATCTGGAGGTTTTGAAGGGCACTGAATAGAAGCATGACACGTTTAATAACTCACTTTTCCAGCACCCTTTTTTTGGACCGGTTTCACACCGAAGCTGATAGAAAGCGAGTGAATGCCTCCCGACCAGCCATCTCGTATACACAGCTGCGATGTGTTTTTTTGTGTTGGGGGTCACCCTTTCAGGAATGGGGCTTGCTGAGACCATGAAGAATTTTTTCTTTGAGCCCACGCTCATCCGCGTGGTTCGGCTCGCCCGGATCGGGCGCGTACTCCGTCTGGTCCGCGGCGCACAGGGGATCCGCACCCTCCTGCTGGCGCTGCTCATGTCGCTGCCGGCGCTCTTCAACATCGGCCTGCTCCTCTTCCTCGTCATGTACATCTTCTCCATCTTCGGCATGTCCAACTTCGGATACCTGCAGCACAAGGCCGGCATCAACGACATGTTCAACTTCGAGACGTTCGGCGGGGCCATGCTTTGCCTCTTCCAGATCACGACGTCGGCCGGCTGGGACGGGCTGCTGGCGCCGACGTTCCCGCTCAACTGCGACCGCTCCTTCAAGCACCCGGGCACGTCGGTCGAGAGCAACTGTGGCAACACCTCTTTCGGCGTGGCGTTCTACGTCAGCTACATCATCATCTCCTTCCTCATCGTCGTCAACATGTACATCGCCGTCATCCTCGAGAACTTCGCTATCGCCACGCAGGAGAGCGCCGAGCCCCTGAGCGAGGACGACTTCGAGGCCTTCTACGAGGTGTGGGGCAAGTTCGACCCCACGGTGACGCAGTTCATAGCCTACAAAAATCTCTCCGTCTTTTTGGACTCTCTGGACGACCCGCTGCGCGTGCCCAAGCCCAACCATCTGGCGATTGCCGCCCTCGACCTGCCCATCGTGGCCGGTGATCGCATCCACTGCCTGGAGGTTCTGTTCGCGCTCACTAAGCGCGTGCTGGGGGAGGGCGAAGGCATGGACGCGATGCGCCTGCAGATGGAGGAGCGCTTCATGGACAGCGGCTCCGCCGGCAACGGCACGCTCGCACCCATCTCGAGCACACTCCGGCGCTGGCAGGAGGAGCTGGCGGCCATCAAGATCCAGCGCGCGTTCAGGAAGCGGCTCACCAACAGAAGTACCTCGCCCACACTGCAGAGAGGTTCCAGCTGGGCCAGGGCCGGGGGTTCCGACGGGATGATGGTGCCCGCCGCCGCCGCCGCCACCGCCGGCGCCACCGCCGTCGCCCCAATCATCAACGCCCCGCAAGATTACGTCGGCAATACGGGCAACGAGAAGGTGAAGATTATCGTTACATTGCCTTCTTTCTCGTCAGGAGATAACATCGTCATTTGTGCGGATGTGAATTGTGCTGACCATGATGGGAAACTTTCGTGAAGGGATTTTTTTTTTTTGCGCCACTCGTTGAGGCTGGGTCTCCTTGTTCCGTGAGTGGGACCTCAGAAAAGGGCTTTAAAAGTTGTACGTACATATTAACTGGGGATACAGCAGACGAGAAGCAGATCGACCACATTATTACAAAGCTCAAAATAAACATTAGCGGCATTGCAGAGAAAATAACAAAGTAAATATCGTTCCATTGCGAGAAACGTTTTAAAATTATTAAAATATTACCAGAGACTTTTTTTTTTACGTGTATGAAACCTTTCCTGAAATCCTTCACCTCTAAAAGCGTCTAACTTAAATTCATATTCTGTTTGGTAATGCCCAACTAATAGACATTTGCCAAATAATACATTAACCACGTGAAATATTTATTTGAAGCGCTTGTGTATCCATTTCCATAATTCAGATAAAAGCACAGCCATGAGCATGGCATGTCAAGACAAATTGCATACTTCCAGTAAATATGCATGGTATATATATATGCAAAGGGCATATTTTTCAAAGGTGTGTTATGCATGTTATTTGTATATAAGCTATAAACAGTATACAATAAATAACACACAAAAAAGATTCCTTCGGTAATTTTCTAAGTTCCTAAACATAATATACAGCGCCATAAAGCAGATAAAACATATATTATAATTAATATTTATGAAACAGTCTGAAACCCCCTTCCCAGACTCTGTTGCTGTTGCTTTAAGTGATATGATAACTTTTTTTTTGCATCAAAGTGAATGGAACTCATAAAGGAGCAACGCGACTGTTGTTGCATGGCCAAGCCTTTTGCAGCGCAGATGCCGAACATTCTTTAGCGTATAAAGAAGAGCAGCAAGCGGCCAGATATTTATTGTGCTGAATGATAGAACGGCTCTCGCACTGTAATTCACCAGAAGAGCTCTACGTTGGCTTCACGAGCGAAGATGTTCATCACGAGGCCGAATGGGTTCACGTCCTATGGCTGAATGGGGGTGGTGAGAGACAAGACCGTAACTTTACACGTTTTGATGTTGTTATCCATCCGTCGGTCGCGTCAGTGTGGCTCGGCATTGTCTAACGGAGTTCCACGACACAATGACTGTTGGGATATTTTTTCTTTCTATAGGAATATATAAAGGTCTCCTTTTTTTACAAAAAAATATATATCTGAATGTCCTTAAATAATTATTTGGATTCTGGGATTTTTTTTTTCCTCGGATCTGTATCTCCTCTCTTTGAGTGCCTATGTTTTTAAATGTATTCCACATTTTACGTTCTGGAAAAAAATTGCGAGGACCGTTTTGCTGCAATCATCAAATTTGAGTGCGCACGGGAGTGGCCCCATGGGCTGATGGGGTGCCCGTTTCACAACGTCTGCATTTTCTGTTGTTGCTTGCCAAAGTCAAAACCAAAGAGCCAGGCTATTGAGCCTTAGCGCAACTGCCAACATTGCTGCATTCCATCAGGGGGTGGTTATCTTCATAGTTTTGTACTTTGGATCGCTGCTTCACAAACCTGAGCAAATGTTTTTTTTGGGGTTTTTTTTTCTTGCAACCAAACAATACGGCACTGTCTAGAGGCGAGTTCATGGTTATTGACCCAGGTGAGAGCTCAAAGAGACCAGGAAGAGCGTCATTCGCAAGTAACATATACAGGGAATTAAATCAATTATATTGTTGTTTCACATCTCGAGCCAATTGTGTTTTTTTGACGAATAGTTTTAAGCTTTTTAGCTATCTACTTGTTTTTGTATGTCTCTTTTGCTTGTTACCTTAACCAGGGCATTGAAAGCAAACACAATACTACACAATTAAGCCACCCTACACGGCTTAATTGTTGACAAAAGACAAATAGTTCACTACTTTAGCCCACCGGTGTGCTGAAGAGTGAATCCACAACATTTAAAATGTTTGAGTACGACGTTTCGCTGGTAATTACATCCAGCATCATCGGGCAATTTGCCAGAATGGTGAAGCCATCCACCTGCTCCCCGTCTTAAATAGAACAGCAGGGTGACGTCATCATCATTTAACCCAATCAGATGCAGAGATCAGAGGCGGAGACGGGGGTTATTGTAATTATATAATAGATTAGGAATCAGTTACTTGTTATGCTTAGTAATCAGTTGTAGATTAGTAATAGTTGTAATGTGTATTATTTAATAACTGAACCGAAACACTATACCCAATCATGTGCAGAGTATATCTATTATATAATTACAATAACTCGCCCCCTTCGCCACCTCTGAGTTCTGCACATGATTGGGTTTCGTGTTTGGGTTCAGTTATTAAATAATACACATTAAAACTCATTACTAATCTACAACTAATTACTAATTATAACAATTAACTGATTACTAATCTATTATATAATTACAATAACCCCCCCCCCACCCCTCTGCCACCTCTGATTTCTGGCCGTGTCGGGTGATGGAGGGTTGCGACACATTTTATAAATAACGCGATCTTACCCAAAAACCTTTATGATGAATAAAATTGGTCGCGAAAGCCGACGTGTTAAACTCAGCCACCCTGTGTAACAGATCTTGGATCAGTGATGCAGTTATACAATGGCCTGATGGATCTTGTGGGGTATATATGAAGGTATGTATGTTGAACTTCTTTCGCATCCTAAGTAGCCAATATAGTTTCTCAAGTCTTAATACAGAGTAGATAACTCACACTGAGCGCAGTGGCTTTTCAAAAACCTGTTCTCTCCTTTGGTGACACCACTTATTTATTGATAGTGGTTAATATCGTCAAATAGCATACTTGACATAATTTGGTAATTATAAACAACCAAGTTAGTGGAAAATAATTGTTTTCTTTTCATGTAAATGCCTGTTGTTTGTTGCCTTCTCTACCTACTCGATGTAAAATGCTTCCATGTTCTGTGTGAGAACAGTCTGTTACACAAGCTAAGCACCGTTGAGCCTGGTTAGTCATTGGATGGGAGGCTGCCAGCAAATAAACACATTCCTGTGGAGGGAGCTGGTAGGAACGAGGGTTGCTCGGTCAATGGCCAGGGTCAACGGCGGCGTGGTCTATTCCGCAAATATGCCCGACTGTGAGGGTGGGCACAAGCCGGCGTGAGTAGATTAAACGTTGAGTTTTATAAGGGCACCACGGGGTGACCAGCCCCTCCCCATCCAGCCCCTCCCCACCCTCCCCTCCCCATCCAGCCCCTCCCCACCCTCCCCTCCCCACCCAGCCCCTCCCTCCCCACCCAGCCCCTCCCTGCACGACGGACGGACACAATAATCCCCTGTGGGCTGGTGTAACCAGGAGGTTCCTACCAGTATCAGGTGTTGTAGGCTTGCGTTGCGAGGTCAACTGATGATGGAAGTACAGCATTCGGTTCTTAAATAGTTGTATCCCTTTGTACGTGTGAGTTTTTGTCTGATACTTCAGCTTCCTCCCATATGCCCAAAGTTGCAATGCAGGACACAGTGTTTCTAAGATGCTTGCAGTGGTGGATAGATATCTGTGGAAGGAATGTTTCCGATCTAGATTTTTTTCGAAACGTTAATTATTTAACGTATCTTCATGCTGACACATTTGGTGAGAAAAATCACTGATGTGATGCAACGTGTGACGTTTTTCATGACGTTTTACTTTTGGATAAATCTGAAACAAAAAAATGTTTGGCCTCATTAAAAAAAAAATTCAAATAAAATAATGTGCTTAAAGTACCATTGCATGACAGCGCTTGGCATATGATTAATTGGGGTTAATGGCTGGACTCCAGCAGTTTGAGGTGGAGCTGTGTGCTCCTGGTTTCACTAGAGACACAGGCCAAGAGAGATACATAATTAATGAGTACTTATATCGTCAGCTTATTCACAGTAACCCTACAATCCACAAACACCTGGCACAGGGAATTTGCAACTACTTTCCCTGATGATCCTTCATATCTGTACATTTACGTGCAACATGTTCATAGCACTGAATGTGTGTACATGTATTTATGGACAATAAACACAGACAAATACAAAGATCCTCCGTATAGCCTTAACAGACTGTTGGGGCAAGTGTTGTCAGCAAGCATCTATGAAGACCGGCACGGTACACGAAGGGGTCGGTGGCCAGCATCCTGCCCGACCACCTTTGTCTCCCCAGTGGCGATGTTTACACACCGCACCAGGTACTCATTCGCGGTCGAGTCGACCTAGGGGAGGCCCAGTACCAGTTCAGATATTCATCACTGGTTTTGGCCGTGAGTGGGTTACGAACCTGGGTCGCGGGGGTTCATTGCGCAGCGCGCGAACCGCTACACTCCCACTCCACACTGTGTAACGCATTCAGCAGCAGGGTGGTGCAGTGGCTACACTGACATCTCGTAGCAAAAAGTGCCTGGATTCAATCCCTGACTCGGATCCCTTTTTGTGTCGAGTTTGTATGTTCTTCCCCTGTTCTGTATGGGTTTCCTCCAGGTTCTCTGGTTTCCTCCCATAGCTAAAATAAAAATCACACAATGCAACTTTTTTATTACAAATTACTCATTTGCCATGACCGCAACATCACCCACCTATCTTCTTGGTTCTTTCGGTAAAGTCACGTAGAATGGAAATAATAAAATAATAAAAATAAAACATAATAAAATAATTCTCACGACGTTTCGGCGACAACGCAAGCAGCCGTCCTCAGGTGAAGAACAGGTCTGTCGAGAAGACAGAGTCATTCAGACTCTGTCTTCTCGACAGACCTGTTCTTTTGAATGACTCTGTCTTCTCGACAGACCTGTTCTTCACCTGAGGACGGCTGCTTGCGTTGTCGCCGAAACGTCGTGAGAATTATTTTATTATGTTTTATTTTTATTATTTTATTATTTCCATTCTACGTGACTTTACTGAAAGAACCAAAAAGATGAATCCCTGCAGTCACGAAAGCTTTAAATCGAAAAATCACCCCCCTACTGCATACACTTGGCAGGAGCCTCCTACTAAACGGTCTTGAGACTCAATGAGGCTTTCCTTCGTAAACACGTTAATTGTTTTATCTCGTCGGGGTGTAGGGATTTATCTCCCACCTGCTCCCCGCAGGCAGTTCGATGAATTGTCATGGTTCGGGGTTGTGATTGAATTTAATAATCACATTTCAGTTTAACGTTATGGTGAGTGTAGCAGCTGCAGAGGTCACGGAAATCCAATTACATACCACACACACGCGCTAGTGCAGTCGTGAAATATTGATATTTACACACGCGATTCGATGCAGGCACTAATGGCTTTAGGACTCGAGTGTTAAGTCGATGCATCATTACAACCCTGCAATGTGATTTTCAGTTCACGTTTATTTTGACAATACTTCGCAGATACGATAGGCATTTTGTCATGGTATTTTGTTCCAAAAAAACAGGGGTTAAAACTGGAAGAAATACACTGGTAAAACAATTTGAGGGAAAAAAAAGGTTGTTCATCGGATTTATCCAGAAAATGTGGATTTGCTCGCTGAGAATGTTTGGCATCCTCGAATATGTAGCGAGATGAAAATGGCAGTTAGCAATGCTACAGGCTGGCATGGGACAATACTGTCCTTGAACCCTGGAATAAATTAATTTATTTTACATTCCAAGCCACCTTCCATGTTGTTTTCGTGCAGACAAAGGTCATGTGGGATATGGGCTTTTTATGTGCATTTAAAATTCACTTAAATCATTAATGCCCCTAATGGTTGTCAAACACATTTAATGCGAAGCATGCAGCAACGCCATCTGATGACAAGTCTGTTGGATGGTAATGCTTTGGATGTGTTAACACATTGTATTGCGTACTGTATTGCAAGCACTGCATAGAATGTTACACTATTATTATTACCGCCATATTATCTTCTGTCAGAATGGTGCGTTTTTGTTGAATAAAATTGCACTTCATTTGAAAATGTTTTTTACTTGCTTGCATTCTGACGGTTATTTTCTTCAAATGTCTTCCATAAAGATTGCTTGCCCAGGCAAATGCAATTCTCCCCCCCATCCCCCTAGCCTATTTAAGTCTTTTTCAAAATTTTGGGTCATTTAATCCATGGGGTGGAATTTGTGTCTTATTATTGTCGTCTGGTTTGTATTCCTATTTGTGTCTGTCTCATTTGCACAGTTTAGTTTGCTCCGTAATCCTAAATTGAACATTGAAATATAATTTGTGTATAATTTTGAGGAATTGTATATAATCGATTCCCACACGTGCAATTTGACGCACGTATCTGGAACGTGAATAATACATTTGAATCAATGAATGGATACATTCTTACATGCCTAGTGCTTGTCTTAGAATCTGTACGGTGAAGCAGTGTTAATCCGTTCACTTAAGCCCAGCAGATGCCTCGTGGTGAATTTGGCAGCTGCATTTCTCATCAATTTACATTATCTTGGAATGTTGCCATGGTGTAATGGTTATCACGCTGCACTTGCAATTCAGAGGTCATTGGTTCGATTTCATGCCCTGGCATGGCAGTTGGAACATTGAAGAACGTAAATCATTCAATCTCCTCCACCTGTCCACCCAGGACCAAATGAGTAGACGAAAGTCAATCGACAGATCAAGTGTGACAGGGAATATTGTTGGAACTTCAAATTTTTCCAAGATCTCTGTGGAAGAGAAGGGAAAAAATTGCCTTTATCTTTTAATCATGTAAGCGAGTGGTTGCTGTAAGAAGATGACATTGCCTGTTAATTTTATGAAGAGCTGCCACTGGCTGACCGCAAGTAAACCACACCGTGTGCGTCTGTGTTTAGCTGCAAGGCCAAATGGTTGAATGCATTTGATGAATGATATCAACTATATCAAGCTTGTCCACGAAGGATGGTGCCATGGTACTCACTACTTTTTAGTGGTGAATCAAGGTGGCATTAAATAAGGATGTGCAGAAATTCGGACTGGCAACCGTTAACTGCTGGATGAGGGCCTCCCCATGCGGTGCTGGATTTGGGGGTTATTTGACCATATTTCACCACGCTTGGTGAAAGCAAGGAGCATAGCATGTCTGAGCATTTTGCTGTACTGTCCCGCAGCTGCTTATGATACCAGAAACCATCCAGGCTTCCGAGTGAGACCCGAAGAGATAATTGGACACATTCCCAGGTGATTTGTGATATGCAATATTTAAATACTGAACGGCCACCTGTTTTTTTTACATATTTATTATTGTGCGGGTTGTTTACACAACGGGTTAACAAGCAGTCTTTTTCCCAACTAAATAAAGCATTTTGGTAAAATGCATCGAAGAAAACAAATACAAAAGCACTGCCTGAGCTGTTTCTATAATTGTAAGCGAACACAGCTGATGATGTGCTCAGGATTCTCCAATATCCCCCCCCAAAAAAACCCCCCAAAACTACAATCTTTGCACCACGCTCTACTGCTTAGCGGTGTGCTTGCCAGGACATCCAGCATCCTGGCGGTGCATAAAGTAGGGTGGCAGTGAGCTGCCTGATGAAAATCGAATTTTGCACAGAAATCCATCGTTGTTGTCATCACCGCGTGGATCAGGGATCAGTGCACAGAGACGGAAGCCCGGAACTGCCGAGATTATGGGTTCAAGTCTGAGTTTCGGATATCCAAGAGATGATGTTCTCAGCCCGTTCACCAATGACAGCCCACAAGAAAACTCATTACTGTATGTACATGAAATCACTTTTTTTTTGTCCTGCCGATTGTTTAAATTCCCTTGAAAAAAAAGTCAGAGCATGGCTTTGATTGCCACACAGAACATGTGTGAAAGTGCACCGCCCCCCCCCCCACCAATTAATTTTAGAAGCAATTGCACGTATTTTTCTTCCACAGGCCATTCTCTAACAAATGGGGTATAAACTATACTCTTTGGTTCTTTTGGTAAAGTCACGTAGGTATGAAATAAAATAAATTAAATCACGACGTTTCGGGCGCAACACGAGCGTCCGTCATCAGGTGGGGTATGAACTGTCTGCAACAGTGCTGGCATGGCGAGTCTCACGACAGGACACAATTCAGTTTGCAGCCGCCCTCCACACCTCTGATTAGAACGGTTGGTTACGTGCGGTGCAAAAGAATTTCAACATATACACACACTGACAGCGCAGTTGGCATGAGATTGGGGGAAAGACCACAACTCAAATATAAAATGAAAACATCTAATACGACATGCACAACCTCAAATTACTTACGTGGAGTACGCGTGCGTGTTTAACGTGCCTGGTCTGTTTTGCAGACAAGCTTCTTTCGTCAATTCTAGATATGAAGCTTTCGTGACTGCAAGGATTCATATTCTTAGGTTTTTTCGGTAAAGTCACGTAGGTAAAACATCAAAATTAATGAAAATAAGTTAATTGGAAGAATATATTTATTCTTGAAATTATTTACTTTTCTGGCTTGAACATTATTTTTGATTGACATCCTTTATGTGGTTGCCAGTGTACATCTATTTTAAATGTGTGGAACTGTGTATGATTGCAATGTGAACAGCGATTATATATTTTTGGATGGCGAGGCCACGAAATCATTTCATGCCAACACTCGTGTTATGAACCCCCCACCACCAGACAAGATTGTCGCGTTTACAAAGATATTATTAATACGTACCAGTGCGTCGATGCCAATGCATCCGTAAGTCAAAAAAAAGCTCTACGTATTTACTTAGCTACCCACATTGCCAACTGGGGAGGGCTTCCCGTGTCCGTTTAGTTTTTTTGATTTGCCCAACATTGGTTTGTCAGACAGTGACACTGAAACCTTACGATTCAGATCGTTTTAGGTTGTGTGGCAAGCGAGCAGAGGGCATTAGGTCCTTACGGAGGTTCAGAGGAACAATCGAACGACTTATTCAAGGATCCCTTACCCCCCATCTCTATACCGACCAGGCACCTTTTCACTGTCTTCTTCTGCATTAACGAAGGACCAGGAGCACTTTTACCCCCCCCCCCTCCAGCTTTCAGTGATGCATCTTTACTAGATGTTGGATCGATGCTATTGTGCATGAATAATTCTATATGGAATGAAACAAAAACTTTTTGTTGCACTTTAAAAACGTGTTTCATGTTATCAGCACTTTCCTATAAATCACGTGACACATGTAGTGCGAGTAATGGCTCATAAGCTCTTTAAACTGCACGTTTTTTCCCCCTCCCTTAGGCATCGTTCTTGTTTAGTTAAAATTGTTCCGAATATTTTTTTTATACGCGACTGTGAGGTGCCCCGTTTGAGACATGTTTCGTGTCCAGTCATGATGGTCGTTTGACCATACTTCACCTCACTGGCTACTCGATATACAAAAATGTTGTGTACAATGTACAGCGCTGCATTTCCCTACACACCACGTATCCTATTCGCGAACAGGATAAAATGTTCTCCGTACAGTATTGTATTAGATAAATGCTTCAAAATAAACTCCACGTAATATATCCTATCCAATAACAGTTATAATCAGCTTATTGTAAAAAAAACAATCTAATAAATGGCAGCAAACGACCCCAGTAATGGTGGCCTTTACAGTGAAGCAGTTGCTTTTTGTTGTGCGTGTGTCTGTCGCTGTGCACACACAGTGAGTCCGCACTGTCGTCAATGGAACCCTGATTATCACTTCGAGTGGACCAGACGAGATAATGAAATAATAATAAAAT